GGTAGATGACATCTGAAACATCACAACCCCTCCCCCCCCCCCCACACACACACACACACACACACACACACACACACACACACACACGTATGTTATTTTCCTCACCCAATTGTGAGGGAACGGTGGGACTGAGTGGATGGTTCTGTGTTCATTCTGATAGACAGAAGAAATCTATTCAGCCGTCATCAGAGGAGGGAGATGGATGAATGCTATTGGAAGTGTAAAAGTCTAGTAGTCATGTTGAAGATGTCGTTGTTGTCATAAAAGTTCAAAATGTCAACCTTAGATACAAAAATGTATATAACTATGCTTCGACACCTTTGTAGCCATCTCTTGAGGTTACTAAGGGAAATAGTTCATCATGTACTTGCTGGGCCAAAGCTGTCAAACAGTTTAAGGAAATAGTTTTAAACTAGACATTGTGAATAATAGGAAATATTATCTCCATTGTAAGTTATTCGGAAGCAGGTCTTATGAAAGTGACTTTATTATAAACTACAGTATTGTCTCATAGATTGCTGTATGAATGAGTAAGATTGGGAAAGCAGCAGTGTGTCTGGAAAACAAACGTGTTCAGTCATGCCCACAGACTATTTCTGAGTGCTGCTGTGGAAGAGTACATGTTTTATCCTGGAAGGCTTGTGTTCTATGGTTGTCACTCTCAATTTCAGAGAGCTGTGATAAGGAAGCAGTGTAAATGAGGTGGAATGGTACATTTCTTCCAGGCAGAATCATCTGTTTATGAATGATTTACCTGCCATGAGGGTGTGATCCAGAGAGGCAGGGTGAGGCAGCAGAAGGTGAGGAAAGCTTCTCATCCTGTTGGCCGGCCAGGTTGTTTGAAGTAAGGGGTGATGATGGGGTAGGAAAAATAACTATTCAAGTAAGGCCCCGTCCACACGGAGACGATATCAGTTGAATCCGCTAACGTTCTCTATCGTATAGACCAGTGGTTCTCAAACTTTTTTCAATAATGTACCCCCTTTGAAAAAAATATTCAGCCAAGTACACCCTGATCAGCGCAGAAACAATTTGTTAGGGAAGAAATTACTATATAAAGAGGTACAGCGCTGCACCATCAGTGTCTTATTTATTAAAACAACAACCTTGTAACTGAGAAACACTTAAATGCTGCATTTCAAATGTTTACAATCCATCACCAAATTCATATAAAACCCACACTGCTCAAACTTCGTTACTTTTCCTAAAATTGGTATATTTATTTATTTTGGGGTGTGGGGAATGAAGAGAAAAAAATATATGAGCATTTTATGAGCATGGGATTTTGACCCCTCATATAAACATATGCATAATGCTGCCCTATACTTTGCGGCCACACGCCGTTGCCAAGCAACGCTTATTGTTTAGGTCCTTTGATAAGCAGGCAGTCATATCATTAGCTAGAACTAGCTAGATCTGATAGATTTGGATATAAACGCGAGTGAAGTCTAACCGGACGCGAGAGAGAGATCAGAGAGCAGATCAGCTGCTGCTGACGGAGAACACGCAGCTCTTCCGGATCACAGCTCCCCCGCTGTGACGGACCGTTGAGCGGAGTAAAATACTAATAGAGTTAGACCTAACACACTTAGCTAGTTTATCTACTCTGGAACTAGCTAAACTAGTTATAAATATATTTATTCTTTACTGTTGGGTCACTTATTACAGGTTCAGCAAGCTGCACGAGACTGACCGGCTGTCAGGAGACGAGGGAGAGGAAAAGAGAGCACCCCGTTTATTTTTCCCATTTTATTATCCAGAATTACTGTAAACTTTTGAATAAAGTAGTTCATCTACTATTAGTAGTTTGTTTAAATGCATTACTTATAGGGCTGTGCAATTAATCATATTTTAATCGCAATTACGATTTTGGCCTGCCACAATTACGAAAAACAACATAATCGAAAAAAACGATTATTTTGCTTTGCTAGGTTGTGCACTGCAACATATTTGATCAAATGTATTTGTATTTATCATATTTATATATGTTTAGTAGCTTGTTGAAGTGCGCTCCAAAATATTTGTTGATGTTGTTTATTGGTATTTATTATTTTTGATATTATTTATTTAAATGTAGATATAAATGTATCATTTATTTAATTAATTTTTGTATTGGTTTTTCAGTTGAATTATACGCTCAGGGAAATCAACAGTTAAAAAGATACTGTTCAAATTATAAAATTATTTGTATTTAAAAAGTGTTTTCAAAGTCAATGAATAATCGTATTTAATAATCGTGATATCAATTATTGACCAAAATAATCGTGATTATGATTTTTGCCATAATCGCACAGCCCTAATTACTTATGTTGTTTTTTTTCATTAACATAAAATAAATCTCACGTACCCCCTGCAGTACTCCAACGTACCCCTAGGCGTCCGCGTACCCCCATTTGAGAACCACTGGTATAGACGGTTCGTCCACACGAGGCCGAAACGGAAACGCGGATTCGTTACCCTTTGATAACGACTCCCAAAGTGGGTAGGTCTGAGGACGAAACGCTTGCGGCTCCGTGTGTACGCCCTATACGATCATTTCCTGAAAACGATGACGCCATAGCCCCGCCTCTACCCACCTCTCCTGCTCACCCCCGCGTCACCGTCATTGCTGATGCGTTTCGCCAACAACAACAACAATCACAGGGTTGCGTTCGTGCTCCAGACGCTACTGACCATGATACAGATTTTAGTGCAAAATCTACAGCTCCTCTACCACAACCATCAGTAACAACAATAATATAATATAATAATGATAATAATTAAAACTGCGGTCGCAGAAGTGCGCGCAGTGATGAGCGGGCCCTCGCGTCCGTATGCCTGTCGGGGAGGGAGGCTGGTCGTCCCGGCGTCAAGCAGGCGCGTGCGAGTCCTCCGAAATGAGCCGTTTGTCATTTCTATAATTGTCGCGTCCCAGACTCCCAGGTCCTCCGGCAGCGACCCGGAAACGGATTCTGGCGCGACGTGTCGAAGGAAAACTAATTTCTGTAAAGGCTCGTCGAGGATCGATTATCGAGGAGGCTGTCTGGAGGAGCCGTAACCGAGGATACACTGATTTAGAGGAGAGAGGAGTGTCTTTGGAGGAGCTATAACCGAGGGTACACTGATGTAGAGGAGAGAGGAGAGAGGAGTGTCTCTGGAGGAGCTATAACCGAAGGGTACACTGATGTATTCTCCGGAGTCGATTTCAGCCAACAGTGATGTTTAAAAGAGGCGTGACGCATGGCTGGACTTATGTCAACGAAGCACAGCTCTGCAAACTGTTCCCGTTGTGATTATAAGTTATTTAAGATGATCAAATGTGCATCAGACTTTCTGCCCTTTACCGTTTGTTCACTCACTAATCACATCTCCCCTGGATGTTAGGCTATTTATTATACAACTGCTTTCATTGTGACGCGATGTTTACAGTGAGAACAGCTGCTGAGGTCAGTGCAGAAAGCAGAACAGTGTGTATAATATATATCGCTCAATAATATATGTAACAGGCCTACATTTCACACTTTATTTGTAGGCTTTAGGAGATATCTACAAAATAAACAGTAGGGTTAGTGTTATGGAGTGTTTCGGTGTCTGTTGTAATGAATATGCCGCCAGCAAAGGGCGTTGTTGGACAAACAGTAGGTGAGTGTGTGTGTGTGTGTGTGTGTGTGTGTGTGTGTGTGTGTGTGTGTGTGTGTGTGTGTGTGTGTGTGTGTTTGTGTGTCTGTTTGTGTGTGTGTGTGTGAGAGTTGATGTGCCGGGCAGACAGGCGGGTCTCAGTAGCTTAAGGTAGTATCTGACATATAAATGGTGAGCAGTTCTTTTGAAAAATTACGTTTTTTTTTACATTCTCGAAAAGGTTGTGGGCTCTGACGTGTGTCCCAAGTTTTGCGTCCGAAGCTCATTTTATGCTATCGCAATTTAAAAAAAAATTATAGGCCACGCCCACATTCTGAATTTGTTGCCACACTTTAAATCTGAGTTCGTAGTCACCCCCAGAGTATGTGTAAAAAAAGATAATAATAATTCGTCCATCCGTTCTTGAGTTATAAATTGGTGGTGTTTTTGGTGCCCCCTATAGTCCAAAATGAAAATGCTTTGGTGTGCCTATTCCCCAAGACAGACTGAACCTATCCACCAAAATCTGTGATATATGGATACATTGTTGATGAGTTATGAGCATTTCTTTCTAAGCCCCGCCTTTTTGCGAGTACGTTTTGATTGACATTGGCAATATTTATCGTCCTAACATGCTCATTTTCTACGGTAATGTGTCTGACCCTCCATGCTGTGTACGAAGTTTGGTGTTGAAAAACAGAAAATTGAAATTTAAGTGAATATTTAACTGTTTTGAACATTATGCTAATTTAAATTAGAAATAATGTAGGCGGAGCTTAGGGTTCCAAGAGGATTATTTGTAGAGCAGGTCCACCCGGATATGTGTGCAATTTCAGGTCATTCAGAGTTACGCTGCGACTTTGTAAATGTATTCCGAAATGGGATTTTGATAGGTGGCGCTAGTGAGCAGGTTGGAATATTTAACCCATTGACTCCAGAATATTGTAGTTTTCACCAGTCCTGGCGTCCGTGCAAAATGATACAACTTTGTAAAAGGCCTCAAAAACAGGAAACGCCAGCAGAAAAATAATAGGAATACGTAGGAAAACAATAGGTTCCTCGCACTTCGTGCTAGGACGCCGTTGGGTCCTAGCGCTCCGTGCTCGGGCCCTAATAATCGTTATCTGTCTTATTCGCTGCTTTTGGTGTATTTTGTGGCGGAAGTACAGCGCCACTTACAGGCCCAGCATATGTACTACAGCGTCTCCAGCGTTTGTGAGCGTTTTCGTGTGGACGGACACGTTTCTTGAGCCGTTTCCGTGTGGACGGAAGACTTTTTTGAAAATGACTAAGGTTCGTTTTCGTCTCCGTGTGGACGCGGCCTAAGACCTTTAGGGATAGAGGGAGTTTGGATGAAAATACTAATTATGTTAGTATTTTACTTACTTTCTGTCTGTCTCCAGAGCTGCTGGGCTCCACCAAGAGACTCAACATCAACTACCAAGACTCAGACGGGTAAGTGGAGTGTGTTTGTCAAGTCTGAAGAATGCAGTGGAGTCAATGGGTGTTTCTCAATCGCGAGTAAAGCTGCTTCAGAGCCACTATTTCAAGCATACTACGTCATCGAGTGCCGCCGATGTACTGTTCCAATCTCCAGCATACTTGGAAATCTACCGAGCCCGGCGTACTCCGTTTGGAGAAATATCGAGGCTGCACATGAGTAGACTTCGCGGTCTTAAAATCCCCACAATGCTTTGCGCAAGGACCAATTTCCCCAAATCTGTGGCGGAAGATGTTAGGCGGGGCCTCTCATGACGCACACTTGCTAGCCTGTTCCACACTTCGTTTTCCGAATGCCAGGAAGTATTCTTGACTCGCTTCTGAAGCAAGATGCTCGGCAGACATGTGCTACCAAGCAAGCGTACTCGCGATTGAGAAACACCCAATGTGTGTGATTGACAGGACATGGTTAGTTAGCTTAGCTTAAACACTGGGAATACGGGTAAAAGCTAGCTTTGCTCTGTCCAAAGCCGCTACTCTGGAACCGTGTGTGTGTGTGTGTGTGTGTGTGTGTGTGTGTGTGTGTGTGTGTGTGTGTGTGTGTGTGTGTGTGTGTGTGTGTGTGTGTGTGTGTGTGTGACTGTTTATGCCTTTCATTTCTCCCTCTGTGGAATATACTGTGACCTGACAGACACCCAGAGACTGACACACACACACACACACACACACACACACACACACACACACACACACACACACACACACACACACACACACACACACACACACACACTCTCTTCTTGGCCTTTATATAAATATATTCAACACATGAAATAACTACATAACAATCCAAATATCTAAAAAAGGAACAAAAAAATGATAATAGCTTATAAGGTTGGATGATGGATACAACCTTAACACTCATACCAACATTAATCGTCACATCTTACCACCTGGTAAATTCGAAAACTTACCAATTTTTCCCATCTATCATCAAAGATATGAACTTGTTTTCTATTTCCATGGTTATTTTTTATATTCCATACATTTAATTCGATAGATTCTTCCATTGGGAGATTATTAAGTTATTATATTTTAACCAATTCCTTTTAATTTGTTTAATAATTGCGATTGTTATTACGAGAAATAAGTATAGGCCAAAAAATTCATACAAAAGTATGAATTTTTTGGCCTATAGTTTTGATGAAAGCACACATGAGTTTGATTTATACCCCCTCAAATGTCATTACCCCCAGCTTCTCGGCGCTGCACCATGCGGCTCTGACAGGCCCCACAGAGCTGCTGTCTCTGCTGCTGGAGGCCCAGGCCACGCTGGAGGTCAAGGACATCAACGGTAAGAGCAGCTCCTGTGAACCTCACGCCCCAGACAGACCTACGGCTCAAGAAAGAGATGTTTGGGAGGTCAGTTTGAGGTCAATGTTAAACTTTCTGCTTCTGGTACTCTCAGCTGAGAATACGTTTGAGCCATATGATTGACTTGCTACTGTAACCGGTCTGGTTTGACGGCACATCTATCTCTGCGTTGTGTTGTGTGATCGAATGAAAACGACTTCCTTCTTGCCAACCAGGATTTATTATCTGTGCAAAACAGAATATAATCACAGCAGGAAATGGCTTCACCAGCTTTCTACATCAATACCTCTCCTCAGCGAGGCCTGAAGCTTAGCTAACTGAGGAAAGTAGCGCGAGTCTGCCGAAATGTGCCGGTGCCAAGAGTACCAAAATAAATAATTGGGTGGTCGTGCTCTTAACCTTATGTTATGCCTCTGAGGTCAACTATAGATTTCTGAAGGGCTGTTTCAAAGGTTCCATTTGCGTCTTGGCACTTCCTGCCCCCTTGTCAGCATCCGAATCCAGGGTCTCAAGCAGGCTCAGTGGAACGCACGCCGCATCATACAGCGCCACACTGTGCAGAGAGAGGAGCTGGTCCAGGTACAGCAGAGATACAACTGCATATCCCACTGTATCATTGCTCTTTAGCCTGAAAAACGTTATCTGTAAAATGATAGCACAACTGCACACAAAGATATAAAAATGTAAATGACCTCGACTCTAACAATCATTAGCATAAGCTGCTATCATCCCATCAAAATGCATATTATTAAACCTTTACTAAACATTTGATCTTTGCTGTTGTAAAACTGAAGTTTGATGAAGAGACAATCAAGTTAAAATAATGTGGAACCTACACTGCGTTTAACAGCAGAAGAAATTCAGATTTCTTTTTTTTATTAAAGCATTAATCTTAAAGAGCAGAGGTTAGAGCACAGTTAAAGGCAACTGTATCTCTAACCACTTGTTCAGGGAATAACTGTCAAGACCTGTCATTATCATGGATACTGCTTACCCTATTTGAATTCAATCCCACAGGCATGCTGTTTAATTTTTTCTGCACTAATCAATACTTATTTATATACGCAGTGTTCGAGTGTGTCATGGGTCAGTGTCTCTCTCCTTTAGCTCATCAGTCCCGGATAGGGTGAGATATTCTGACTTTCTGAGCTTGTAATATGGCTTCAAAAAAACATTGATCCCACATTTCCCATAATGCAGCTTGATCAATTATTCAGTTGGACCCTTCCTGTTTGTTTAACACTGACAGGCTAATATACACTTACAAAATATATCTATCTTCGGATAGAGTTGATCAGGTGGTTGGTTGTGGCCTCTTCAATGGCTGTTCGAAGTTGCTGGTGTAAAAAACTGTTCTTTAGTCGAGTAGTGCTCGACCCCCAGGAATTTGGTGCAGCTCACCTGCTCCACAGCAGTACCACCAATGGTCAGTGGGTGGGGGTGTTGGGTATCGTTTCTCCTGAAGTCGACAACAATCTCCTTTGTTTTCTCCACATTGAGAAAGAGATTGTTATCTATGCACCACGTGGCCAGCTGGTTCACCTCCCTCCTGTAGTGGGTCTCGTCGTTGTTGCTGATGAGACCCACCACGGTTGTGTCATCCTCAAACTTGATGAAGTGGTTGGAGCTGTGGGTGGGTGTGCAGTTGTGGGTCAGCAGGATGAAGAGCAGGGGGCTGAGCACACATCCTTGGGGGGAACCTGTACTCAGTGTGATGGTGCCTGATGTGTTGTTGCCGACCCGTACAGATTGGGATCTGGCAGTGAGGAAGTCCAGCAGCCAGTTGCAGAGAAAGGGGCTGAGACCCAGGTTTGTTCGTTTACAAACCAGTGGCTGGGGGATGATGGTGTTGAACGCTGAGCTAAAGTCTATGAACAGCATCCTAACATAGGAGTTTTTTGTGTCCAGGTGGGTGAGGGCTGGGTTGAGAGCAGAGGAGATTGCATCCTCAGTGGATCGCTTCGCTCGGGAGGTCAGATTTGATTTGCTTCATGACTAGCCTCTCAAAGCACTTCATGATGGTGGAAGTCAGCCCTACGGGGCGGTAGTCATTGAAGCAGGAAGGTGATGACTTCTTCTGCACAGGTATGATGGTGGTTACCTTGAAGCACGAGGGAACAACAGCCTGGCTCAGGAAGATGTTGAAGATGTCTGTGAGGACATCTGTGAGCTCAGCGGCACAGTCCTTTAGCACACGACCAGGAATGTTGTCAGGCCCAGAAGCTTTCAGGGTGTTAATCCTTAACAGTGTGCTCCTCACACTACCTGGGGACAGACAGATAGCCTGGTCGTTGGGTGGAGGCGTTGTTTTCTGCGCAGGTGTTGAGGTTGTTCAGCAGAGAGGTGTCACTGTCACAGGTCTGTGGTGGTGGTTTGTAGTCCGTGATGGTCCTAATACCCTGCCATAGGCTCTGTGTGTCTCTGCTGTCACTGAAGTGAGCTGTAATCTTCCGGGTGTACTGTCGTTTGGCTTTCCGGATGCCACGGGATAGGTCGGCCCTGGCTGCTCTGAGACCAGCTGGATTGTCCTCTCTGAAGGCGATGTTGTGGGCCCTCAGCAGCCTGTGGACCTCTCCTGTCGGCCATGGCTTCTGGTTGGCCCTGATGGTGATGGATCTGGTGTAAGTCACATCCTCAATGCATTTAGTGATGTAGCCTGTAACGATGGGTTACGTATTGTAACCCTACTTATATAAGCACAGGCGGAGCCCTCTACTGGACTCTATGGGTACTACCCCTTGACCTTACTATGCGAGCGTTCACTTACTGAGATATCTTTAAACGTAGCCGCCCCCTCGGGGCGGGCCTACCTGAGTGCGCGCGTAAGCCCACCGTATATAAGGCGGCCTCGCCTCCTGACTGTCATCTTACACCCTCTTCAGCGAACAGCATAGGACAGACAGGGCCCCTAGTAGAGGGCTCCGCCTGTGCTTATATAACTAGGGTTACAATACGTAACCCATCGTTATATCTTACACAGGCTCCGCCCTCTACTGGACTCTATGGGTACAGTGGGTGGAGCCCTGATGGATACACGCCCTGTCGTCCAACAACCCATCACACTGCCCCTGGTTTTTGGTTAACAGCTACTGCACCACAACCTCTCCTCCCTCGGCTGTCACCGTGGAGGAGTCGGGGCCGCAGTTTACTTGGCTGATAGAGCACACTCAGACACGCTTACCTCGTGAAGAGTGTGCATGGAAAATAGCGAGGAAGGCTCCCCAAGAGATAAAACCTTATGAAGGGGCCTGGCGTGGACCAAGACGCCGCCGTGCATATGTCCTCCACACTCACGCCGTTAAAGAAGGCTGTTGACACAGCCATACCCCGTGTAGAGTGCGCACGGACCCCCGTGGGGAAGGCTCTCCCCGCCTGACCGTAGGCATGTGCAATGCACTCGCAGAGCCATCCTGCCAGGCGTTTCTTGGACAGAGCTTTACCGGCCACACACCCCCCCCCCCCCCCCCCCTCCCAAAGCACACAAACAGCTGTTCAGTGCGCCTAATGGCAGCCGTGAGCTCCACATAACATGCTAGCGCACGCACCGGGCAGAGGAGGTGCAGTTTAGCCTCCCTGTCCCCAATATGGGGTGGAAGACTAAAGCCGCCCAGCTGTATAGCCCTTGACCTGAACAAACTCCTTAGGCTAGGGTTCGGTCTGAGTGTCGCCCAACTCAGGTGTACCAACAGCATCCAAATAATCCAGCATTTCCCGGTCACGAGGCAGCGCGGGCAGAGGCTTTTTCCCCTCCGCCCATCCAGCAGATGGGCCGCCAGGCTCTCATCAAGGGGGGGCACGCCGGGACACGCTGTGTCCGACCGGCCCTGCACCCTCAGGATACCTGCCATACCTGCCACTGGAGCCCTCGTCCTCAGTGGCTGTCGCCACGTCGCCTCCACACACTGCCAGATATCTGGCAACGGGGGCAAAACGAAGGCCGGCTGTGCTGGGGAAGCCGGGCCGTAAAACCCCTGACGGAGGCTTCGGCGGTAGTGGTGGGGGGAGCGGTAGCCCTACACAATTTGCTGCGATGGCCGAATGGCACCTCCCCAGCCGCATCCTGTTCCTCCATCTCCACCACCTCGAGGTCCACGTGGTCCTCCGTTTCCTCCGGCGACACGTAGTAGGCCTGAAAATGCTCCAGGCGATGCCGGTGGCTAAGTTGTGGTAGCATCCGGCAGGCATTACAGGAAGAAGACTGGGTCAAGCCGTCCCCGGCGTGTTCAGGCCCCAGACACTCGAAACAGAGGCGGTGGGGATCGGCACCTGCGATTAGGCCGGTGCACGTAGGACAGGGTCGGTGCTCGAGGATTGGTGAGTCCATTCTACTTTCTCAATTTTCTTCCTTCTCTTCCGTCTCTCAATTGTTTATCCTGCTCGCTGAAGAGAAAAGGATGACAGTCAGGAGGCGAGGCCGCCTTATATACGGTGGGCTTGCGCGCGCACTCAGGTAGGCCCGCTCCGAGGGGCCGGCTACGTTTAAAGATATCTCAGTAGGTGAACGCTCGCATAGTCATTTCATATCGCATAAACACCATATCCCAACATGCATTGCGGCTAAAACATCCAATCACCGAGCTTCAACCATAGCTGAGGATCTTGGGTAATCAGCTCAGTGGGTGTGTATGTACAGCCTACGTCTGTTTCCGGTGACTTTATTTTGAAATGAATAGCAAAAAAGCCAGAGATTATAGAATTAAACAAATAAATAAAAACAAGGATAATTGTGTGTTATTGTTGATTAAATAACAGTGTGTTATTTAGAAAAGAATAACAAATTAGAAGGAAAAAAAGATAAAAAAAATTACAGATTTCAGTATTCTGAGGCTCTGAGCGACGTGGTGCAGGCACGAAACATACTACCAATAGAAATACATTGCTTTTAAAATCGTTCTGTGTGACACGAAAAAAAGGGGAAAATCGTGTTGGTGAACACGAATCAATAGATTAAATGTTGTGACTATAACACGAAATGCCGTGAGACTGGGTTGGAATAGCGGGCCTGTGTGGATGCCTCCATGCTTACCCCTGTTCTGCTTCCTCTCACACCGCTTGCAGCGTCTCCTATTCAGCATGTAGGTAACAGGCGAGGTTGAGTATATTCCAAGGCCGCTGAGTCTATTTTTTGTTTTGTTGTTATTTCCTTGTCCAGCAGGAACTCACGACTGTACTGTATACTCCTGACTGTACTATCGGTTCGGGATGTTTGAAGTGAACTAGACGAACAAGACGAACAAACGTTAAAAACACTCTAAAACGCTAAAGACTCGGGAGAGCTAGGGGCCGCTGCTGCTGTCTGCGCTGCCATCTTGCAGGTCAACGCTCAATGGGTGACAAGTCCGGTGCAACATGGGTCCGTGCCTTATCCTGCTGCAACATGAGGTGATGGTGGATGAACGGCACCACAACGGGCTTCAGGATCTCGTCACGGTATCTCTGTGCATTCAAAATGCCATCATTAAAATGCACAAGTCGGTTACGGCGATGAACTGCAGTCAAGGACGACGAGCATGCAGAAAGGTCTAAGATCTTTGAATTCAGCTCATGTAAAATGGGATCAAAAACAAAAGTGTTGCGTTTATAATGTTGTTATATACTGTATACTAAGTGTGCTGCTGTGTGTCCTGCAGGCATGCGGCCCCTGCACTACGCAGCGTGGCAGGGGAAAGCTGACTCTGTCCTGCTGCTGCTGAGAGCCGGAGCTTCAGTCAACTCCCCCTCCCATGATGGACAGATGCCGTTACACCTCTCTGCTCAGTATGGTCACTACGAGGTGGTGAGTACGCACACACACACACACACACACACACACACACACACACACACACACACACACACACACACACACACACACACACACACACACACACACACACACACACACACACACACACAGGCACCTTATGTCCGTAGTCCTCCCCCTGAAATCTACTCCCTTTGTGTCCAAGCCTGGATTGTCCACCAACAATAGCAATGACACCTTTAAAGCCATGCTGCAGGTTATCGTGCGTCATCCTTTGCTCCTGGAATTTCTTAATGGACACACACATATCATGGACCTTTCATATAACCAGGGGTGCACATAACTGGTACGCAGGTACGCATGCGCGGCAACAATCTGAAATGCGTACTGTCACTTGTGTCACAAAGCGCATTTGCGTACCGACGTACTTGTGAAGCTTTTCCAGAAGGCGGTTAGATGGCTGTAGTTCACGTCGGTCTGTACAGCAGCCCTGCGCTAAAACAGCTGATCACAACGTTCACACGCTCCACGGGCACGAAGCTCTGTACTCCACTACCACCCCCCCCCCCCCCCCCCCCCCCCCCCCCCCCCCCCCGTTGACCATCGCCACCAGTTGGAGTACCAAACACTGACTCACTGAGAAAGTTGTGTGCACCCCTGCATATAACCTATATAGAGACCTGGCCTCTTTAGTACAACATCATCAAACACAGTAGAGAATAATAAACAGAGTGAAGCTATCATATGTTCTGCGTTCTGCTCAAAGACAAACACTGACACACACTGAATGTGTTGCATGGCCCATGAGGTAACATCGCTCTCTTCTCCTCTCTCAGTCTGAGATGTTGCTGCAGCACCAGGCTAACCCCTGCCTGCTGGACAAGGCTCAGAAGTCTCCGCTGGATCTGGCCTGCGAGTTTGGGAGACTGAAGGTAAGAGTGAGTGAGTGCGTGCGTGCGTGCGTGCGTGTGTGTATTGGTCAAATAGAAACTGATGAAACAGAAAAGTTGGTACCATTTTACAATAAGACTACCCTTATAAAGGATTCATAAAGGGTTTATAATTAGGTTATTAATTAGGTTGTTAACACTTTATTAATTATTAAGAACCATTTATAAACCAGTTCATACATCATTACAGGCTCACTATTTGGCAAGATGAATAAGCCTTATATTTGCTACCAAGCTTACTTCGTCTTCTTCATCAGCCAACATCCTTGGTATCTGTTGTTCACTGAGTTGATTCCCCTCCTTCCATCTTGATGTTTCTTGGCATCTCTTATGACCATTTATTTATGAGTTACTACCATTTCTAATTGGTAAAAGGGAGCCTTATTATAAAGTGTTAAACAAATCACCATTTATTAATGAGTTACTACCATTTATAATTTGTTTAAGTTATATTAAGCCTTAAAGTTATGCATACATTAGGGCGTGGTCACATTGAGTGACAGCTCTGTCCAGTGACTGCTGCTGTTAGCTTCCTGTCTCTCTGCTAGCAGCTCCGTGATGCTACAGGGACTCAGCCTGCTCAGCTCATCCGGGGAACATAACTTGAACTCTGCCGTGTTTGTTGTGCTGGTGCCTTGTGGACTATTCTTCATGCTTATATCGGACTATTGTGACTCGCTCTGTGGTTAAAACAGAAGGTGCATGAATGTGGTTTTGCGGTAAGTGAAATTTGAGTACTTTATTTATGTGTTGCTTATGTTTTTAGTCAGCTAATGTTAATGAATGTTAAGGCTAGCTACCACTCGCTTAGCATGTAAGCGAGTGGTAGCTACATCTGTGCTAACGAGGCTAATCGTAGCCTCCAAGTTAAAACGTAATAGAGAAGTGTTAAAGGTAGGGTAGGTAAGAATGGAGAAACCGGCTCGAGTGCGCTAGAATTTGAAACTACGCAGCCGAAAAAAATCTGCCCCTTCCTTCAGACTTCCTTACAGAGCCCCTCCTCCAACACACACGAACGCGCACATGACCAATGAGGGCACGAGATAAGTTTGTGCACAGATGGAAGGCTGACAGGCAGGTAGGCCATCCAGTTATTTTAGCCGGGCCGGCTAAAATGATTGGTCGTGCTTTTTACAGTACTACGGCTTCCACAGATGACATTTTTTTTATGTATTTATTGTCAAAGCACTTAAGATATTCATTGCTATCGGGATGTTAAGAGCATTCCATGGAATATAACAAAAAGTGAATGACCTACCCCACCTTTAAGCATTAAGTGGGATAATACTGTAGAATAAACGGCTTCTATTTGAGGTTGGTAAAATAAGGTCATCCTTGTAAGTTAGAGAGATATTTTATTAGGTAGGTAACTTTATGCATTACTAAGGTTTATTTAAATTCGCTAGGCTTAAGACTTTTCTTTTTGCCGCTGCTTTTAAATGAACTATTCATATCTTAAACTGAACTGTAACTTTTATCCATGTATTTTTTCTTTTAATGTTTATTTTATTATCTTTGCTTTTTAATAACTTCTATTATCTTTGCTTTTTAAAATGCCATTTTCTTAATGTCTTTCATTGTTGTAAAGCACTTTGAATTGCCTTGTGTTGAAAGGTGCTATATAAATTAACTTGCCTTACCTTGCCTTGCTATGATCGATTATGTAGACAAGCTAATGTCAAAGTAGTGTTGAAGAGCGGCGTAGTGTATGTGAAATTAACCTCACAATAAGATGTGTGTATATTACAAATAATAATGTCATATTTCAAGATGATTACTATATTACAATATGGTTGGTTGAGCTGGACTTCATTATTGAGCTTACACGTTAACGTGACAGTCATATCTGAAGAACGAACCCAAACCGTGTTCTTTATATTAATTGTATTACCAAATTGGTATCAAATAAATAGTCAGCATTGGTTATACCAATGCTGATAAAGTAAACTATTTTATTTGTGTCTGGGAGAAGGTACTGTACCCAGTTCCTATGTTCGGCAGTTATAGACTGGGCTTTCTTGTAAGAGAATACAAAAAAATCAATATGGACCATTACTGTATAATTATCCTTAAATGATGTTATACAATGCACACAATAAACAAGTATGGCATTTTGAAACATGATGTTGTTAACTAAGATGATGTTATGATTTATTTTTTGATAGTATGCACGTGGACGCTTTGGACATACTTGGAGAAGGAAGAAACGGGTCTTCGGAATGATGGGAGTTAAAGACAAAAGGCGGAGACTAGTGTTGAAACTAGTGGAGAAACGATCAAGATGCCACCTTGTCCCTCTGATTGGACGGCATGTTAAGTCAGGAAGTAGCATTATTAGTGATGAGTGGAGGGCATACAGGAGAGTGCTGAGTAACATGGGGTACAACCACTACACCATAAACCACAGCAGGTGGTATGTGAACCCCCAGACTGCAGTCATACCCAACATATAAAAGAGCTAGGTCGACCGTCAAAGGACATGTCCGTAGACTGAGAGGAAACCGTACAGAGTTTGTTGGAGGAACACCTCAAGGTTCTTGAATGGTCATCTTGGCTTGGCTCTGCTCACCCTGATGGACTGCTTGTTCAAGAATATACACAAAGCCTTTCCAGTGTGAGTACCATTATGTCTTACCAAGTCTTTTATTTATGTCTGAGAAAAGCTTTTATGTTTAAATATGTGTATCAGTCATACTAAACAGTCATTATTTTGAGTCCTGATTTTCTTCATGTGCGAATAAAATGCTTTGCTTGGTTCTGTTGCATCTTACTTTGCATTTCATGTGAACAATGTGTATTAGGTAAGCGTGAATGTTATAACTCATTCATAAATGGACATGTGTATTAAACTTAAAAACAACGCACCCTTTCAGTAGTTATAAATATTAGTGACTCATCAATAGATCGTGATGTGTTTCACACTTTACAATAAGGCTCCATTTTACCAATTATAAATGTTAGTAACTCATTAATAAATGGTCATAAGAGATGCCAAGAAACATCAAGATGGATGGAGGGGAATCAACTCAGTGAACAACAGATACCAAGGATAATGGCTGATGAAGAAGACGAAGTCAGCTAGCTAGCCAATCTAAGGCTTAGCAGTACAGATACATGTGGGCTCACTATTTGGCAAGCAACCGGTCACAGTTGCCCTGTTTATCTCATGTCTTATAAAAGCGTATTAATGATTTATAAAGTGTTCACAACTTAATGAATTACAAACTATTCGTAAACCCTTTATAAGGGTAGTCTTATTGTAAAGTGGTACCGAAAAGTTTAAGGATTACCAAAGACAAACAGCAAATCATCCTGGTAGCTGTTGAGAGTTTGGAAAGTGGGGGTATTTTGGTGCTGTAATTCCTTTATTCTTGTTCTGCACCGTACACCGATACAGATCTGTATAACTGTCATAACTTGAAATGTCCTTCCTTGAAGTTGTTACGGACATACATCTTTTTTTGTGGGAATTAGAGACAAAATCTTGAAGAAAAATACAATTATTTGCAACACCCATTTTTCCCTTTTTGAATGTGGATGGCCTATGTCAATATATTGAGTGACCCAGCTTTAGGAAGTTTGTCTGTGTGAAAGGAAAGTCAGCTTTAGTGGATACACACACTGTGTAACGTTAAAGGGATTGCACATGACAGTGTGTTTTACTGTTGCACTGTCGCATTGGCAGATAAGCCTTGCTTTGAGATGTAATCAGTCACACACACATACACACACACATACACACACACACACACACACACACACACACACACACACACACACACACACAAATACACCGTGATTCTTCTGCCTGTTAAATGTTCTCTCGTCTGGTCTGAGTTAGCTGTTTAGATGGAAAAGAATAGAAAACTTTGGGCTGTTTTTGTCAGCACTCACACTTTGTGAGTGTGTGTGTGTGAGAGGAGCTGAGGTATCTTTAGACAGGTGCTGAGTAGTGGATAATCGCCTCTAGCTACAGCCTATACTGTATATACTGTAAGTCACCAGATATATTATTTCAATCCATACCTTTTTACCACAGCACCTAGCATGGCTTTGCTTATTTAATCAAACATTACTAAAGCTGTAATTCTTGCCCTATTTCTGACACTTCTCTTTCTTCACTGCTCACACTTCATCTTCACCTCGGTGTCTTTGATTTATGCTCAGGTGGCTCAGTTGCTGCTGAGCAGTAACATGGTTTCAGCGCTGTTAGAAGGGGGGGCAGGGCAGGAGAGTCTGGACTCTCCCCACACCACCCCCCTCCACCTGGCAGCCAGGAATGGACACAAAGACATCATCAGGTGAGCTCACAGCCAGGAGATGTCGCTGATAGAATTCCATCACTGTCTCTTTCTCCTTGCTGCCACACATGCTTGTTTTAACCCTGTTACTTTTAGTAACGCTATCACTGTTTCTAAGGTTAGTGCCTTTACAACTATTACTCAAGTTTCACTACTAGTACTCCAACTGCAGCTATTGTTTTACTGCCACCACTATCAACTTTCTAGAGCAGTCAGTGATAATATTATCAGTGCTACAGCCTCTGCTGCTGCTAATGCTAGAGGCTCCACTATTACTACTGCTGTAACTATATTCTATATTGGTGCAACTAAAATAACTACTACAACTATTTGTACTACTACTTCTACTACTACTACCACCTTGACTCTCAGAGAGGATCCGATTTCCTGTTCCTCTCTGTCCTCTCGCCTGCTGCTGTACTGCAGAGTTGAATAAATATGGAGGAGAAAAGGCAACTCTTCCACATGAACAGAAATGTAGAAAATCCCTATATTAGCCAACAAGTTTACTCAGCAGAATATGGCTTTGATATCCCACCAAGGGATTTACGTCTATTCAAGACATACTAATGCAGGAGACTTAAGGCTGCAGAAGCTGTCAGTGTTAGCTGAAGGTAACATTTAGTCCCAGGCAAGATGTGAAGGCTTTGTTGTTCATTTAGTACAAAACAAAAACAAGGTCTCTGTTTTTAATCATTTATATAATCAAATGTATCATTGAAAACTATATGTTGTACTTCATGTGCAGCAATTGCAGTTTACGTAAATCTCTGCTGAGGGGGCAGGACAGAGACAGGGTCTCAGCTCAGAGACAGACTCAGTGCTGGGGAGGAAAGGAAGACAGGCTTCACTCAGTTCATTTACGGCTTTTTGTCCATTTGTCCTCCTAACCCTAACCTCTACAAGAATTAAACCATACTCTTAGAATGCCAGGACTTTTTCTTCATAGGATTGCACATTTCTTCTTGTGATGATGAATTATCAGTTTTACAAAAAAAAGTTAGTTTTTAATTTACTTTCAAGTTACTAATTGACCAAAATATTTGTAATATTTCAGTTCAAAAAGTTGTTTTTAAATGTACATTTATTTTTATTTTAAAAAGAAAAATATTTATGAGCATAGTGCAAACATTTTGTATTATGATTATGAGTTTGACAGTAACCTTACTTGATAAACTAGTAATGATGAAATGATGAACTCGTCATATTTTTGAATACATGGATATGCATAGTTGAAAACATAAGAACTATGAATTATTCCTAAAGTATCATTTTGTTATATCATAACTTTATTCTCTACATTTTAGTTTTGTGGTTTTAAAACTGTGTCCTAAAGTCTTATTAAATGGAAAACTGTCTACAAGTTTAAGGAATTTATTTTAATGAAGTCCCATGCTACTTGTTGTTCAGCATGTAATTGTTGATGAGCATTTCGTTTTTTATTTGTCAAACCCTAACTTGTTTGACAGTTTGTAGTTTACAGTTATATTGACAGTTATGGAAACTTACAGCAGGAAAAAAGAGAGTTATTGCAGAAGGGTAGCATCCAGCAGACATAACATTGCATTGAGATGACACTTTTATTCAAAGCGACTCACAGTGAGTGCACTCAATCACCAAGATACAAACTCAGAACAACAAGAAACCTGCAGGTACATTCACTTAAAATAAGCCAAACCATAGAAAGTACTGGTGCATTAGTTTCAAATGAGCCTCATCTTTGAGCATGTGTAACACCACACCGCTCATATCCTCCAGCAGTGCTTCAGACTCACTGCTCACACAGCGCAGACGAGCTCCTCTGCACTCTGAGACCAGCAGAGACATTTCTCATAGCTTATGTGTGTGGGCGGATGAGTGGGGGGTTCATGTCTTAATGAGTTCTTGCAGATGTGTGTAACAGCTGCACAGTAGAAGACATTAGTGTTGCACTCCGCAGGTTGCTGCTCAGAGCGGGGATCGACATCAACAGAGCCACCAAAGCCGGGACGTCTCTGCACGAAGCCGCTCTCTACGGCAAGACGGAGGTGGTGCGGCTGCTGCTGGATGTAAGCAAACACCAAAAATATCATTCCATCTCATACGTGATTGTGTAGACTGATATTTTGATGATAATACTTTTTTTACTTTTACTTGAGTAACATTTTGAATGGAAGCCTTTTACTTGTAACACAGTATTCCTACACTCTGGTACTTCTACTTTTACTACAGTACAAGATCTGAGTACTTCTTCCATCTCTGTCTTTAATAAAGAAGGAGGGTTTGCTATTAAACTCACCCACATAAATTACATGTTACTTATTAGACGCTTTTATCCAAAGCGACTTACATACTCAATACTGTGGACAATCCCCACAGGAGCAATTTGGGGTGAAGTGTCTTGCCCAGGGACACAATGACATGCTGACTGCAGTGGGGTTTGAACCTGTGACCCCCTGATCCCAACACCAAGGCTCTATCCACTGTGCCACACGCCTCCATAATTCATAAATCTAACATGGATATGTGTATGTGTGCATTTTTGTGTTTGTGTGTCTGTGGTGTGTGATCGTGTTTGGGTTTCTAGGCGGGCATCAATGTGAACATGCGCAACACGTACAACCAGACAGCCTTGGACATCGTCAACCAGTTCACCACCTCCTCTGCCGGCAGGGAGATCAAACAGCTGCTCAGAGGTTTGTAGCTCTAGTCTAAAGTTTAAAGATTTTATGAAATAATACTGATATTTTGTTCAGACAGAGGTAGGGAAACAGTGGGGGAGAGATTGCAGACAGGTCAGAATCCTATGAAGGTAGATATGGTGCAAAATGCGAGAGCGTGTAAAACCTGATGTGAGCACTTGCAGAAACAAAATCTGAGCTTGTGTGCATACATTTACACTTGTATAACATATCCGTATCTGTGAACCACATTTGAAGTCACAGAAGAAAGTTTTGTAGCTTGTAGAAAAAAAATGAACTTAGTGATGAAATGTTCACTTGCAGAAAAATATATATTTTTTAAATATATTTTCCATTACAACTGCAACTTGTTTATTACAACCTCTCAAATCAGTCATTACAACTTCCTGAATCTGCTCTGTGGCAGTATAAATCGACGAATCTGCGGCTTTGACTTTTGCTACACTTCTTGCGATGAATGTGTCGCAAAAGTAATTTTCACCTGTAGATGTGGGGGAGGGAGGGGGGTTGGAGCGAAGGGGCGGAGCTATCACAACGACGAGGCTCGGGTCAGTCACACAGTCACAGCCATAGTCAGGTCGAACCAGATGACTGCGGGGCTAATGGTCCGTGTCGCTACCAGTCCGCTGACATGGCGCGTCAATCAACGGTAAGTTTTGGCCATTACTTCCCCAGTATTACTTTGAATATTATTATTGTGATTGAGGATTAAATCCGCTATGAAGACCACCATTTTATATCGTGCAGTTTAACGGCAAAATAACGTCAGTTAGCCAGCTAACGCTAGCTTTGTTGAGTTTATGCTAGCTAAACAAGTAGTGGTTGTAGTCTATACAGCAGTAATTCATATATTATAGCCTACTGCTTTGGCACTAACGGTTGATAACCGTTTATGAAAATAAAACCAATTGAACTGTACTGAAATAATGACAAGTTTTATAATTGTCTTGGGCTCCTGCTGTGTTTTTAAAGCCTTTGTAAATTATCCATGCTATTTTCTATTTAGAACGTAGACTTCAGAATCTTAAAATCCCTTGACGTTTGTATGCAATTGTGCTAAATTCAACACTGGAATCAAGCAAATATGAATATGTTTGCATGACATTAGTTATTTATATTTTGCCATCACTTAATTATACGTTTAATACATTTAAGTCAAGCTAAGGTACATGTGATGGTAGCTAGTTAGTGCTCTTACCTGTGAGGCCTCCTCCAAACAGCATTATAACCAGACTGTACCATTAAAACTACAAGTACCAGTTCTAGATCCTTAACTTTAGACAAACAATTCAAAAGACAACATTTATTTAAAGACCAATCTTTATTTGAAGGTGCCTCTTAACCTGAGATATTAGTTATACAGTAATAGTATTGACAATCTAAAAAAACTGAGCAACTCAACGGTTCACTTTTATATTTCTTATTGTCTAAAGCATTTATTATTTTCATTTTTCCCCTCTCATATTCAGTGTGGAGTGTGGACGGATTGAGACAGCGTGGTGTCCAGAGAGCTGCAGAGACTTCAGGGAGAAACCTCCGTGTGATGGACGTCCTGTCTGTTGGTTTGGCCGGAGAGTTAACCTCTTAAGGACGACGGTCCCCCCAGTGGACCCCCCCCCCCCACCGTTTTTTTTCGAGACTGTGTCTCAGGGCTTCTTAACATTTATGAAACTATTGATGTGTAGCACCAGATTAACGGGAAGAATCTCAGCTAACTGAAGATATGAACCATTTTTACCAAAGCAAAACACAAGGGTAATACCAAGCCTCTGAATTAGCACTAAGCGAAAAAATGCTAACGCACTTTAGCACAGAACTCAAGATAAAGATACCCTTATTACTTATCGTACCTGCACATACAATATAGCCGATTAAAGCTGAGACTCCACAGATTATATAGGTATAGTATCATCACTGAGCGATCCGAACTCGCGACAGGGGAAGCAAACACAGACATCACAACATGTACCTTTACGGAGCTTTTACGGGAGATCGTCTCACCGTAGCTGTCAATCTGATCAAAAGACGTGTTCAATGGCATTAAAACGAGAAAAAACGCGGCTGAATCGGTTGATCCATAGGTTAATAATGTATCTGTGGCTTTGAAAAAATTATTTATAATCCATAATTCCATTTTTATGTAACAAAAAAGTTAGCTGCCAACAGAGTGTATGCAGCTTCCGGTTTTGGCCACGCGTCACTCTCACTCCTTATTTGGTAACGTGTTTGTGTGTGTAGAACTTCCCCTCTATTCCATTGGCTCTAGCGGTTATAAAGAGATTTCATTCATCAAAATCAACCAAGGGGGGCCAGAGATAGGTCAAATCCACCCAAATGACCCCAGAAGTGGTTTCTTTTTGTTAAATCTCTCTAAAAAAGTCAAATGTCACTTGTTTTGCATCAATCTTGATACAGGGTACTTATTATATGTTGTACTTTGGATTCCTAAAGCTTTTAGTCTACTAACCCAGGGGTTCCCAACCTTTATTGTGCCAAGGACCGGCAGATAGATTAAAAAAAAATCGCGGACCGGTTGTCAATTTTAACTGATTTTAATATTTACTCACCACCAGCAGGTAGCAACAGAGGCTAATTGTATGTAACAGCCTGAACAAATACTAGAACAATATGCATCCAAAACATATTAACAAAGTTTAAAAAAGAACCGGTGTTGTTTTTTGGTTTTTCGGAAAACCAAAAAAACGACGTTATTCAGTTTTTAAACCAAAACGGGAAAACAGATAAATCAACGTTTTGGTTTTGTTTGTATGATTTACGGATAATCCAGTGAATGCTGGGAAAACGAGGAGAAGGCGCATTATGAAGGAGATGTCCGGTCGCCAGTGTGTGTGTGTGTGTGTGTGTGTGTGTGTGTGTGTGTGTGTGTGTGTGTGTGTGTGTGTGTGTGTGTGTGTGTGTGTGTGTGTGTGTGTGTGTGTGTGACACTGGCATTTGTTTTCAGAAGATATTATAATAGTGTTGTTCGTTCCGGTGCACTCCGACAGCATTTAGCACTACATCGAGATTAAGATTAAACTAATTTATTTTGGGAACAGCTGCATATATGGAGTTAGCCATATGTGTGTAAATTACTGTTCATAAACATTTGAAAACAAATGCCGGTGTCGGACAGACACAAACACACCGAACACACAGAGCTGAGCTGAGCAGAGCACATACACACACACATCATGCGCCTTGGTGACTGACTGGACCTCTCCTTCATAAAACTAATAAAAGGGGGAGTAATCGGGCAGTTCGATGTGTGTAGAGATGTGTGTAGAGGTGTGTGTGGTTAACACCTAGCAGCCTGCAGTCACTCTTAAGCTGTTCTGATGAAGTTAAACACAGTGAAGGCGGTGCGTAAAAAGGCACAGCCTCCAGAGGCGGAGTATACGTCCCGCTGCCTCCTGATGTTGCAGCCATTTCATGAAGTGAAGGAGGTTTTCCTTCTATAAAACAGCTGCGGGCAGCAGATACCGTGAGAGTCCCGGACATGAATTCATAGATCAAGGCAGACTGGTTTACTCTCCTGTTTTGCCAATCCGGTGCTTAAACAAATAGCTCTACACCCCTGGCCGACATGTCCTTAAAATGAAGTCCGAGTTTGAAATATATCTCAAATAATGTATGCACCACCATTTCCCCACATAAACATAACAGTCTGCAATCAAACGGTTGTCTCCTGTGCGCTCCTCTTCCTACTTGGCGCACCGGTAACATTCTCGTGCGCACAAGAGGCTGAGCCGCCGAATCCCTCGGAACATCATAAAAGCCATTTTCAACGGTTTTCTGGTGAAAGATTAACTAGCTACTGGATGAAATAATATGACTGGTGGCATAGGTGCAAAAATTAAACATTAAAGAGCCTGATTTAGCTCTGGTTCTTCCTGTTTCCACCGCAGTGCAGCCGGCTCTCAGTACCGAAACCCGGTTCTTGGCCCCACTCGGCTGCCTGGCAAGAACCAATACGCTTACGTCGGAGGGGGGCGAGATTAACCTGAGCAATAACAGTTAATGGCGAGTACGGCATTACAAGTTGTAACAAGCAGTAGCGCTGAGCAAAGTGACTAGAACATGACCACACACTTGTAAAAACAGAGAAGAACCAGTTAAGCACCAGAAAAGCACAAGAACGGATCTTGAACCCTTGGTGGTTCTAGAAATATGTAATATAACATTTTATTTTCTATTTAATTTATTGTACTATGATTATTTTTGTAATCATGCATGGTATTTTTTTAATTAACCTTTTTTTTTTTTTTTTTATCTCACGTACCCCCTGCAGTACCCCAACGTACCCCCAGGGGTCCGCGTACCCCCATTTGAGAATCACTGGTTTAAAGTGTCCAGGTGATGCAGACAGGATGGACCAGAGAGTGAGAGACAGAACTGGACTCCTCACAGCAGTGAACTTCAGCACAGGTACAAATACTCTTTTTTCATACTGTACAAAGAATCAAGAAAGATATTGGTTTAAATAAATGAAGTATTGACTTTAATACACTGATATGCATTCCATTAAACAATACTAAATACTAGATCACCTACACATCAGTTAAGTTGAGGGTTTTTTCCATGCAAAGGGTTACATTTAGATGTTAACAAGCAATATGACTGTCAGCTTTCTAATTTAATGTATTGAAGGCAAAGATATTTAACACATAGTGAGAACTGCTACTATTTATCTCTCAATATTGTCTGTAAAAAACGTGGTAAAAGTTATTCTTTCAGTGAGGCAAGAATTGCACTACGTTGCACTACGTTTTGATAACAGTTAAATATTATTTTGATTATAAAATATATTTCAATGTTGATGAATTTCATACTGTTCATTCATAATCTGATTGTCTTTGTAGCTCACTGTTGAAATAAAAAAAAACATTACAATTACAAAATAATTATATCTACAGCCCCTAAACACAAACACACCTCTTTCATAAATAACACACTTGTTCTGCAATAATATGCTTTATGTTTCCTGTAATTTTTGTTAGGAAAGGACATGCCTGAAAGACATGACTCAACATTTTCTCCTTCTCTGAGGGTCAAGAAGAACATCCAAGAGGAAAATTAAAAGCTGATGTTATGAGATGTTAAGACCAGTACAGGACATTCACTAAGAAACTACTTTTATTGTGAAAACAAAAGCTGATCGAATGCACCTATTTCCACATCTACACTCCATCAGCTGATTATTTCTATTTGCCTCACTTTATGAGCTTCACATCACCTGTACCTTGTACCGCAGAGTTTGCAACGCCACAAATAAATGGGGCCAATCTTCAGTCAGATACAGTGTTTCCCCTACCATTGTCTTGGCGGGGTGCTGCGCCTGAAATTCAAGGTGTTTTTTTTGTTTTTTTTAATTAAAAAAATATATATATATAGCCCCAAATCGCAACTGAAGTAATCTATCTACGGTCACTTTTCACATTGAACATGTGCTCTTTTATTAAATAAACTAAACGCCTATGTTATTTATCCAATGTATGTGCATGTTTCAGTGTCCACTGCTATGCGTATTCACATTCTCCCTCCGCTGTTTCTGAAGGGCACACGCACACACACACACACACACACACACACACACACACACACACACACACACACACACACACAAACACACACACACACACACACACACACACACACACACACACACACACACACACACACACACGAATGCACACACTCACAATCAGAGACAAGAGCGGAGGAAAGGAGGAGAACAACAAAGTGTAAAAAAGTCAAACAAATTTGCATTATTGCCCCGAGCTCTGCTGTCTGCCCGTTTGTGTCCCCCCCCCAGTTTCAAATTCGTTTATTATTATTTTTTAACCTCAAGCCGTTATCGATAAAAAAAAGAAATTCAAATGTTTTGAGTTGGGGGGGTACCCGAGCAGCACCCTGCCAAGGCAGTAAACCTAGGGGAAACACTGAGATGTGAATGTGTAATCTAACATTTTCAGTAAGAATAATGGACAAAAGGAGTGCAAATACAAATTAAATTGATTGAAATGTGAACCAAAAGTTAATCAAAAATGTTTTAAATAAAAAGCACATATGGACAGAAGGTGTAAACCTATTAAATGTATAAGTAAACACATTTAGTCCAATAAAGTGACAGACTAGGCCTGATCAGGTGGTATCAGCTATGCCCAGCATGGGCTCCTCCATCAGGCCTGGTCCTCCTCGCTGAGGAAAGACCCTCAGTCCTCTCCGGCCAAACCAACAGACAGGACGTCCATCACACGGAGGTTTCTCCCTGAAGTCTCTGCAGCTCTCTGGACACCACGCTGTCTCAATCCGTCCACACTCCACACTGAATATGAGAGGGGAAAAATGAAAATAATAAATGCTTTATACAATAAGAAATATAAAAGTGAACCGTTGAGTTGCTCAGTTTTTTTAGATTGTCAATACTATTACTGTATAACTAATATCTCAGGTTAAGAGGCACCTTCAAATAAAGATTGGTCTTTAAATAAATGTTGTCTTTCGAATTGTTTGTCTAAAGTTAAGGATCTAGAACTGGTACTTGTAGTTTTAATGGTACAGTCGGGTTATTATGCTGTTTGGAGGAGGCCTCACAGGTAAGAGTACTAACTAGCTACCATCACATGTACCTTAGTTTGACTTAAATGTATTAAACGTATAATTAAGTGATGGCAAAATATAAATAACTAATGTCATGCAAACATATTCATATTTGCTTGATTCCAGTGTTGAATTTAGCACAATTGCATACAAACGTCAAGGGATTTTAAGATTCTGAAGTCTTCGTTCTAAATAGAAAATAGCATGGATAATTTACAAAGGCTTTAAAAACACAGCAGGAGCCCAAGACAATTATAAAACTTGTCATTATTTCAGTACAGTTCAATTGGTTTTATTTTCATAAACGGTTATCAACCGTTAGTGCCAAAGCAGTAGGCTATAATATATGAATTACTGCTGTATAGACTACAACCACTACTTGTTTAGCTAGCATAAACTCAACAAAGCTAGCGTTAGCTGGCTAACTGACGTTATTTTGCCGCTAAACTGCACCATATCAAACGGTGGTCTTCAAAGCGGATTTAATCCTCAATCACAATAATAATATTCAAAGTAATACTGGGGAAGTAATGGGCAAAATTTACCGTTGATTGACGCGCCATGTCAGCGGACTGGTAGCGACACGGACCATTAGCCCCGCAGTCATCCGGTTCGACCTGACTATGGCTGTGACTGTGTGACTGACCCGAGCCTCGTCGTTGTGATAGCTCCGCCCCTTCGCTTCCCCGCTCCCTCCCCCACATCTACAGGTGAAAATTACTTTTGCGACACATTCATCGCAAGAAGTGTAGCAAATGTCAAGGCCGCAGATTCGCCGATTTATACTGCCACAGAGCAGATTCAGGAAGTTGTAATGACTGATTTGAGAGGTTGTAATAACCAAGTTGCAGTTGTAATGGAAAATATATTTAAAAAATATATATTTTTCTGCAAGTGAACATTTCATCACTAAGTTCATTTTTTTTCTACAAGCTACAAAACTTCTTTTTTTTCTTCTGTGACTTCAAATGTGGTTCACAGATACGTGGATATGTTATACAAGTGCAAATGTATGCACACAAGCTAACCCTAACCCTTTGCACCATATCTACCTTCATAGAATCCCATCCTGATGATGAGTGTGTGTGTGTGTGTGTGTGTGTGTGTGTGTGTGTGTGTGTGTGTGTGTGTGTGTGTGTGTGTGTGTGTGTGTGTGTGTGTGTGTGTGTGTGTGTGTGTGTGTGTGTGCAGAGGCATCGAGCTCCCTGCAGGTCCGAGCATTGAAGGACTACTGGAACCTCCAGGACCCCACGGCTCTGAACCTCCGCGCGGGGGATCTGGTTATGGTACTTGTGTTTGTCTGTTTAGGGCAGTCAGTCTGCTACAGTAAGTCACAGCTTCACTTCCTGTGGAGTTGTTGAGCCCCAGCCGACTCATGTTCCTCCTGCCATTCACAGCCTTCATATCAAATTTACATTTCAATCTTGAACAATGAACAGACAGTTCACAGTAACAAAGTCGTAAAACTGTTGAAATATAAGACTAGGAAAAATACGCAACTAGAAAGACTACAAAGTACATTTACTTAAGTGTTGTACTGCTCCATTCCCATTCAGGTACTTTATACTGCGCTACATTTATTTGATAACTTTAGTAACTTTGAAGATTCAGAATACTACAAAATATAACCAAGAAATAGTTTATCAAGTATTATTATAGGTTAAGATAAAATGTTATTGATCCCATGGTGAATTTCACAAGCTACCCAGCAGTATATAATGTAAATTAAAAAGAATAGCCGTCTGTGTGCCTAATCGTTTGTTTGCGTACCTCACTTCCGTTTAGCTTGCATGTGCGTGCGTGCGTGCGTGCGTGTGTGTCAGGCACAAACTTGCAACAACACACACATTCACACACACTGTTTTGCTTTAAGTCATGTGTATGCACATTTTGGTTTTAGTGCTGTGTTTTTTTTATATCTTCATAAGAGTTCATTCATTGTGACATCCCACACACCTGTATGAACTTGTGTGTTGTTGTCAGAAGGCCGTGTTGGTGTTTGTCCTCTCCAAGCGTTTTGTTAACACTCACAATGATTAAACTTCCAGCTCATTGGCTCTCTCATTTAGTCTTAAAGCATGCCTGGAGGGGTCAAACATGTGACGTGTAACCCTTAAATGGTTTCTGTATCCACATTTATTTGACAGGCATGTGTAAAATGGTAGATATACCAGTGTAATTACAGTGTAATTACAGTGTAACATGGGTGTAACATGGGTATAATATGGGTGTAATTATGGTGTAACATGGGGTGAAATATTGCTGTAATGTAATAACTGTGTTATAGGGGTGTGTTAATGTATAGTATGGGTGTATTAACAGTGTAATATGGGTGTTATGTAGAAAATAGCAATCAATTAATTGTCCAAAATTGCCCATGTAAGGGTTAAGTGATGATGTGCAGTTTTCAAGAGAAAATAACTTGGAAGGATTACCCCACTAAGTCTAAAGTTCTTTCATTTATTAAGCGCTTTGAGCACCAGGAAAAGCGCAATATAAATAACATGTATTATTATTATTATTATTATAATTTCATCCCCCCATTGTTAACATCATCAAATGATTTCTCTGGCTGGTTGTTTCTGATCCTGGTTATTGTCACTGTGCTTATTGTGAGGCTAATGCACACACACTGTTGAGCTGATCTGTGCTGCTGTCAGGTGGTGGAGCAGCACTCAGACGGACGCTGGAAAGGTCACATCCATGACACCCAGCAGGGTGCCGACCGGATGGGCTTCTTCCCCCCCTCAGTGGTGGAGGTGCTCAGCAGACGAGCAGGTAGACACAACAACACAAACTCAAACACACTCAGTGGTGACAAGTTAGTAAGTACACATTTGTACAAGTACACCCAATATATTTTTTTATGTTGTATGTTTTTTTTCGAGGTATATAAAGTTAGAATCTGGCCAACCTCAACTCAGAACCTCAGAACATCGTGTATAAACAATAATTGTATTAAATCATCTTAATGTTTCTATAGCTCTTTGTTTTCAACATTACTCTTCATAGAGTGTATTGTCAACCAGACCCCGGGGGTCCAAAGGTCTCGGGTTCAATAACAGAGTGGGCTGTACGTCGAAACCCAACAGCATGGCCTCATACTTTAGCTATAGCAGCCCTACATTACACACTATATGTTTATGCATTTGGATAATACACTATTTCAAATGGTAGTTTATTTCTTTAATGGAAGCACTGAGAGTCTCTGATGTCACAGTTCCTGACAGAACAGCACGCTGACAGAGTTCTGTAAAAAGGCTGAGTTAACCCAGAGCAATGCTTATATCTGGACTAAGAATATATCTCTACATTCAGTATATCATCAGATTGAATCTGATAAAGAGGAATATGATCCCTGCTTGTTTAGCAGCTATAAATCCTCAGACATTCAAACAGCGGGATGAGCACAGTGATTGGTCCAATAACAGCTACACGCACGCACGCACGCACGCACGCACGCACACACACACACACACACACACACACACACACACACACACACACACACACACACACACACACACACACACACACACACACACACACACACACCACACATTAATAGGATTACTATGACCAGATTGCAAAGTGTCAGCTCAGTGTTAAAGCCCTCACAGTGTATTTATTTGTGTGTGTGTGTGTGTGTGTGTGTGTGTGTGTGTGTGTGTGTGCGTGCGTGCGTGCGTGCGTGCGTGCGTGCGTGCGTGCGTGCGTGCGTGCGTGCGTGCGTGCGTGTGCTCAGTGTCAGCATCAGTGGACCATCAAGACACAAAGAAAAAGTAATCCCTCTCAGAGTCACTGGAGATCTAACACTCTATTTCAGCAGCCTCTTATGTAACACCGGAGAGGATTTGCAGAGACTTTTTCCTTTTTTAGCAGTTGTTCCAGATACTTTGTGAACAGGAATACATGATGAACTTCATTATGGCTGGCAGGACTCCTAACTGCCTGTTTCCGAAAGCTGAGGAACAGACCTGCATCACCAACACTTCTTTCCCTCATCTATGCCAGCTTTGAACCTAACCTGTGTCCTTGTCCCTAGGTGTTACTCTCTCCCGCCAAGCCTCAACGCCCAGCCAGCAACAACACTCCAGAGCTCCGCCCTCCAACCACGGCCCCGCCCCTCAGACTGATGACTCGTACACACTCGGATATGATCCTGCAGGTACATTACACACACACACACACACACACACACACACACACGCCAACTTCTTGCTATTGGTTTGGTTTCTGTTCACCACCTTTGACACATTCTCGTCAGTATTTGTACAGACCTACTTCAATTCGAATTGACTGAACACAAATTGCAAAAGATGCAAACAACTACAGAGTAGACAGGAAGTGTGATCCCCCTGCAGGTGGAGTCAGCTGAGCTGGGATAGTGATGGTGTTAAAGGTGGAGCTGAAGTCCACAAACAGGATCCTGGTGTAGGGGGGGGGGGGTGCAAGGACACAGGTTAGGTTCAAGGATGGGATAGATGAGGGAAAGAAGTGTTGGTGATGCAGGTCTGTAGGAGAACTGCAGGGGGTCGCTGAGGGTTCGGAGGTGGGACAGGACCAGATGCTTCATCACCACAGAGGGGAGGGCAGGGGTCTGTATATGCTCAGTGTTGTTGTTTACAGCTTTAGCAATCACCTCTGGTTAGCCATTGTTGGCAATACCGGTTGATAACTGCTTTATTACTGTGAGTATTTTGTAAATACAAACATCATAGCAACATATCCACAAATAGCAGAATGAGCAGTACTGTTGATTTAATGTGAAACCAATAATACAGAAGAGCTAAAAATGTTATATTATCAAAGTGTTCTCTTAATGTTCAAATGCGGAGATTACATTTTGAATTACAATAGGTCTTCGCACACTTCGTGCTCAGGCCCTAATGATGATCTTGGGTATGGTGAGGTATCTCCAGGTTTCCAAGTAGGTCCTCAGGGGGCATTCCAGTGACATTTCTGACTGGGAACTCATAAACTCCTACTTCCCAGTACAACTGGAACACACCATGATTATTCCTGGTGTATGATGGTACGCTGCTGTCCTCGCAGAAGCTGATGTCGGTGTAACCGCTTTTGTATACTCATCCAGACTGTTGGTTGCTACCAACAGTCTGGATGATCAGTCCAGAAACATGTGTCACTAATTGTAGTGACCTGCCTGCTTCTCCTATTTTTCCTCCATGGCCGCTCGGGCATTCTAACAAGTGGTCCCAATAGCTACATTGGTCCACTTCTTAGATATCCTCAGAGTGAGTGAAGGAGACAGTGTTGTGAAATGATGGGCTGCTTTGTTTTAATGATTATCTTAAAAACGAGTTGTATATCCAATGAAGTCTTAGATCTTCAGTTTCCCTTTTGGAACGATGAGTGCATGTTAGTGCCGCCTGCTGGAGTTATTTCCTGTCACGCACGCCCAGATCATCGTCACAAATGGACGGTGTGTTTATTTGCAACTTTTGGCTCAGACACAGAAATCATGAGGACTTGGTCTACCAAGTCCTATTCAGGCTGAAGAAATGTGAAGACCATCCTCTCGGATGGTCTTCACATTTCTTCAGCCTGAATAAGACCAAGGCCCATGACCCTGGTTTTCTTATGGCGCATTTCCACCATGGTGCGGAGCGCGGTTTAAGCGTGCCGTGTCGTGCCGGACCCGTTTTTGGTTGCGTTTCCACTATGCCTAGTTCCGGCCCGGGGCTACTTTTTCACCTTTTTTCTGGCCCGACAAAATCGTGGTTCTTTCCGGGCCAACAAACAGGGCTGAGTCGGGCTGAGTATGCTAAACTAGAGAGAGAATCGCTGGCAAGGGGGCTACAACTACAACAAGATGAACATATTTGACCGTGATTTAATTGTAATACACGTTTCAAAATGATGCCGAAGTAACAACATACTGATACCGGTTAGTAAAAACCATGAATTAATGCTTTGACAAGTCTGCAGACAGACGGCAGGCGAAAAACCTTTTAAAATGCTTGTTTTCTAAATGGAGATTGGCTAAGCTAACGCAGTATATGCTCCGACCGTCCACACTCACAACAACGGCCTATACAGACATAAATAAAGCAGCGACTGTATTCACCATGACACAGGCAGTCTGTGGTGTGTACTTGTTTAACTTTTGTCTAGTTTCTGAACATATATGAGGAGCTGTGAGCTCTGAGTGCTAACAGCTAACGGCTGATGTTGTTTTTCTGGGGTGCTCATTGAAGATGACATCACGGCTCCACCTACACTGCGTTACTATAGTTACTGCCCCAGCTACTAAGCTGTAATGGAAGCGCAGCATTAAAGTGAGCTGGGCCTAACAAGGCCTAACAAAACCGTACTAAGTCGAGCGAGGCCTGCGGTGGAAATGCGCCATTAGTGTCCTTCTGGGGGTCTAATTCCCAGTAGTAGTGGTGGTGTGGATTTTACGGTTCTATGCCTAGTGAAAGGTGTCTGTATCTGTCCATGTTCCCAGGTTTCACCTTCCCCTCCCCATACAGCACCCTGAGCCTCTGTTGATGCAGTAGGTGGATCCCAGCTCCTGTACATGTATGTGGGCTATACAGTGAGTGTGTCTAAAGCTGGCTACACACCAACCCGATTTTGGGAGTCAGAGGCCGTCAGAGGCAGTCGGGCATTTGCGGCGCCCTACTCAGGTTTGTGTGTCCCGCACCGTCGTCTCTTTACGGCACCTTTTCACACCTCCCGCGGCCGATTCAACATGTTGAATCGGCCGCGGGAGGTCAGAGAAAGTCGGCTCAAGCAATCACTCTCATTGGCTGTTCACACTACCGCTGCCTGCTGGTAAGGACAGTTATTGCCACTCGTCGACTGAAGTATTTGCGGTGTGTTCGTAGGCGGGAGGCGTAGCGGGCGACGTAGCCCACGCAGGCGACGTAGCTGACGTAAAAGTCGGGACGCCTTCGGTACGCGAACTTTGGTCTCAGGTGGGTGTGTAGCGGCCTTAAAGTGTGTGTGTGTGTGTGTGTGGGTGTGTGTGTGTGTGTGTGTTTGTTAGGATCTCCATGTGACAGTCAGCTCCCAGCTAGTCCTGCTAGCCCCTCTCAGGACATTTGGGTCCTCAGGAGCTCTCTCACTGGTAAGGGTGTGTGCTCCTAAACCCCCCCCCCAAAGCCACCCTTATAGATCCCTTCATATCTCAAATCCTTACCATACAATGCCACCATGCCCCCCCCACACCCCAGTAACCCACTAACCATGGTTGTATCGCAGCAGGATGTGGTGGTGTGTGAGCAGCTCTCCTGTGCTGCAGAAATATAAAAAAACATGTTTCCTAACATGTCATTTCATTTAGAGTAGAGATCTGTTTTTCAAAGGCAAAGAAATTATTTCATCTTTAATTCCAGATAAGTTCTGCAATTGGCAACATTTTAAAGTAAAATGGTGATATTTGAGTAAATACACTTAGTTGTATTTTTCGACGTAAAGTTTGGTGAGAGAATTGATAGACAGGATATGAAGTGCGTACATCTGTAATACATGTGGTTTGTTTAATTCTTTCAAGAACAGAAATGTAAACATGAAGCTGTTATTCTGGGGGCAGTGGCATGCTGTACTGTTCCTGCTACCTGCTGATTTCAGTGCGGATTTACACTGTGTGTGTGTGTGTGTGTGTGTGTGTGTGTGTGTGTGTGTGTGTGTGTGTGTGTGTGTGTGTGTGTGTGTGTGTGTGTGTGTGTGTGTGTGTGTGTGTGTCTGTGTCTGTGTCTGTGTCTGTGTCTGTGTCTGTGTGTGTGTGTGTCTGTGTGTCTGTGTGTGTGTGTGTGTGTGTGTGTGTGTGTGTGTGTGTGTGTTCTCTCAGGGGACAGGATCAGTGTGGGCAGTGGGCGCAGTGTGGGCAGCAGCCGCAGCGCTGGCAGCGGTCAGAGCTCAGAGAGCAGACACAAACAGAACGGGGTTCAAACCCGGCACAATGCGGACAGTGGAAAGGTTAGATCTGCTTCCCTCTACTACTAGTGACACCGTACACTGTGTACGGTGTACTGGTTAAACATTTGAATTAACTTTTGACATGCCTTTGGATATTATCCTCAGTAACCTCAGTCATTTCAGAGATTCACTGGTGGCTTGATTTTCTGTGCAGCTGACCCCCTCTGCTGGTGAGTCAGGAGAACACCTCCACCCTGCAGCAGCAGAGCACAGCAAGCAGGCAGGCAAATCATCAGGTTGGTGTTCTTCTATCTATTCTTATGGTTATGTTTCTTTCAGTCTCAGCTCCAGTATACCAACAAAATCTGAGATTTGAAAGAAAATATTTAATTTCAGAAAATAAGTTATGATATGATCAGCGTGGAGGGAGGCGTGTGGCGCAGTGGATAGAGCCTTGGTGTTGGGACAAGGGACAATGTCGTTGTGTCCCTGAGACACTTCACCCCAAATTGCTCCTGTGGGGATTGCCCACAGTATTGAGTATGTAAGTCGCTTTGGATAAAAGCGTCTAACAAGTAACATGTAATCAGCAGGTTGCTCCAAGAGCAAATAATGTTGTGTACACTATGTCAATTACAATCTCCTCCTCCTCAGATTGGTTCCTGGGTTCCAATCCAACCCTGTCTCCCCATTTCCTGTTTCTCTACACCTGAGTAAAGGGAAAATCTCCAAAAAGTAGTTGTATTATAGGCTTTGAATACTTATTCAAAGCCTATAATACAACAACTTTTTCTTCAAATATTTTACTTTTATCATAAATGTTTGAATAGTTGTATTACAGGTTTTTTTCTTAAACATTATGCCTTTTTTATTTCTAGTAAACGTTGTGACTTTATTATCGAAACCTCCGAGTATTTTCCTATTAATCTGTGTTATGAGGGTTAAATATTTGTCAGTCCAACCAAACAAAATGAAAATATATACCTAACTTACATGACTTTGTTTGCTGAGGCCATATCAAGCTATACTCAGGGTTATTGTACCTTGTTCACATCACTGAACCCACCTGAGGAATGTGAGTACAGACAAATGCAGCAGCTGAGCTTTTGTTGTTCAGATGGAGCTGGTATTACAGTCAGTCTGAAAGGAAATGAGATGGGAGGAGAGAGACGTACCTCACCTCACCACTGAAACCAATCAAACCAAAAGCTTTATCTGAACAACAAAACCCATAACAGCACGGTCACCTCTCTGAGGAAACACACAGCAGAGTGTGTGTTTGGGTGCAGGCTCAAATGCTGCAGCTGTGCTCTGGACTGAGTTGGGGCTTTGAAAATGTTTTCTAGACCTGCTGGATGAAGCAGGGGATCTCTGTTGACCTCGGGCTGAATAGGAAGGAGGGTATAAGTAAGGAGAGGAGACATGAGGAGTGGGAGGGAGGTTCAGAGGGAGGAGACGGGAACAGGAGCAGAAAGAATCAAACACATCTGTTAAATAAAGGAGAAAGAACAGATCAGATGGCTGAAGTGAGGGAAATGTCTACATGAAGGAAGGATGAAGTGTGGAACAACAACAGGCCTGCCGCTCTCCTCCCTGCTGAAGGGTAAGAAGGCTGAGCATGTGTTCTCCTGACATTTTCTCCGTAGCTACATTCACTTGTTTGTGTTACTAATCTAACCAGACGAGTCAACTCACTCACTGTTCATTTACTGAGATATTATGGAGGCATTGTAGATGAAACCAGAAAGACATGTTAGGACAAAGCTCCTACACAGGTCTATTTTTTTGCAGTTTTTATTTCCCACTCTTTGGACTGTCAGGTGAAGAGTAACTGGCCCTGAAGCCAAATACCTCTCCATGAGCTGCTGTCTTTCACCTTCTTTAGAGACCCGGGCCCCTCATCTCAACAAAGATGAGAAACATATAAGTCAAAAACAGAACAGACAAAAAAAATACGGAAAGATTAGCAACACAGACAAGGGTGTGGTGTTAGGGCTTAACTGAAATAACCTGGAATCTTTAGCCTCTGAGCATCCAACATTTAAACGTTGATTTAAAGGTAGATGGACCCTTTCAGGAGAAGAGCACAGAAAGAAAATGGAGAAAACGCTCTCTCGGTAACAGAAGACGAGACGAGCGAGGAAAGGTGCATTCCTCAGAGATCTGTGCTCATGTGAATGACTTAAAGAGACATGAGTCATGAGTGTTCACATCAGGTACATAACACACCTTCACGCTCCTGGAGAGACACAACACCCAGCTGCTTGAGTCAACAAGACTCAACCTGTTAGACCTGACTGATGTTCCTGCAAATGATATGACCGGATGATCACATGTGGAATAGGGCTGAACGATTAATCGATTTTAAAACGAAATCGCGATTTGAAATGATGCGATTATCAAATTATTACAAAAAAAATTATCCACACCAATCAGAAGTGCTGTGCTCCACATGTACCAGCCATTGTTAACCAATCAGAAGTGGCCCATGATAGAAGGTGATTGACAGATTGATCCAATCACCTGCAAAGTGTTTTTGAAAGTGCCTGCCCTTTTCCAAATGGCTTCCAATGGAGCTTTCCTGATGGTTTCTGAGTCAGGTTAGTAATGCTCCATCACATGTTTCTATTACAAGGTGAATCTTAAACTGAAGCTTGACTTTAAAGCAACCCAACGGAAGTTTCATGTAAGTTTAGTTCTTTCACTCGTAGCTCGGGCTGCGGGGGTGCTAGAGACGCGAGCACGTTGATACGACCTTCCTAGCCGGAGATATGGCCGCATTTTACAATAAACTTCCGTTGGGTCGCTTAAAAACAAATATCGCAAATCGAATCCCAATCGCAATATCTGTCAGAAAAATCGCAATTAGATTATTTCCCCAAATCGTGCAGCCCTAATGTGGAACATGTGTGGCTGTTGTTTGCTTGCTGCTTTTTCCTGTTTCTGTTAGTGTGTGGAGGAGTTCATCCATCATGTGTTTGTTTTCTAGGAAGCTCCCAACGGCAGGTCAACGGCAGCACTCCTCAGAGAGGCTTTGTGAGGCCAGCAGAGCTTCTGGAGGGAAAGGTGAGCTGTGTGTGTGTGTGTGTGTGTGTGTGTGTGTGTGTGTGTGTGTGTGTGTGTGTGTGTGTGTGTGTGTGTGTGTGTGTGTGTGTGTGTGTGTGTGTGTGTGTGTGTGTGTGTGTGTGTGTGTGTGTGTGTGTGTGTGTGTGTGTGTGTGTGTGTGTGTGTGTGTGTGTGCTTCATTAACACCCCACCTCTCCACTGTCAGGACTCTGAGGCCATCTACCAGTGGCTGTGTGAGTTTCAGTTGGAGCAGTACACATCCAACTTCATCCTCGCAGGATACGATGTCCCCACCATCAGCAGGATGACCCCTGAGGTGATACCATTTTGATATGCTGATAATGATACATCTTTACAATAAGATCCAGTGTTGTTATTGTTGCATGTGTTTCTTGACACAGGCCCTGTTGTACAACATTTGTGTCTGCTCAGCATCACGCTCCTCACTGAAGCCCCTTTCTCACTTCTTGTCTCCACACTCTATTACTACATATAGAAGAAGTACTCAGATCCTTTACTTAAGTAAAAATACAAATACTTTGGTCTTTAAATACTCCACTACAAGTAAAAGTCCTGATTTGAATATGTCACTTGAGTTAAAGTACAAAAGTATTCACATTAAAATTGACTTACATTTTAAAAAAGTGATAGTACTCACTCTGCACAATGTCCCAATTCAGAATAAGTAGATACAAGTACATTTGTAAAGTTTCAAAATTAAAAGTACTCTGACTACTCATGAGCATAGTATTGTATTGTAAATGTGGACCAAATTTAGATACTTGAAATACTGTGTAGATTAGTACTACAGTACTGTATTTTACAAAGTAACAAGTAACTGTGAGTGTTAAAATAAATGTGAAGGAGTAAATAAAAGTACACTATTCACCTGACTAGAGTAAAAGTATAGAGTGAAAGCTGGCACGACTTGCTGCCGCTGCTCTCTGCCGCTGCTCTCTGCCGCTGCTCTCTGCCGCCGCTCTCTGCCGCCGCCGCTGCTCTCTGCCGCCGCTCTCTGCCGCCGCTCTCTGCCGCCGCCGCTGCTCTCTGCCGCCGCTCTCTGCCGCCGCTCTCTGCCGCCGCTCTCTGCTGCCGCCGCTGCTCTCTGCCGCCGCTCTCTGCCGCCGCTCTCTGCCGCCGCCGCCGCTCTCTGCCGCCGCTCTCTGCCGCCGCTCTCTGCCACCGCTCTCTGCCGCCGCTCTCTGCCGCCGCTCTCTGCCACCGCTCTCTGCCGCCGCTCTCTGCCGCCGCCGCTGCTCTCTGCCACCGCTCTCTGCCGCCGCTCTCTGCCGCCGCTGCTCTCTGCCGCCGCTCTCTGCTGCCGCTCTCTGCCGCCGCTCTCTGGAACTACTGAATCAAACTTACGACCTTCCAGTTCTAAATGAACTTTCTGCTTTTTTTACTTCCCTATCTTCTCTCTCTAGTGCTGGGTGATTTTAATATTCACATGGACAATGTCAACAATAATCTCACAAAGGACTGTCCAGGCATGATGTAAACATCATCTCTGAACTCCTTCACACTTCCATATATCTCTGAACTCCTTCACACCTCCATATATCTCTGAACTCCTTCACACCTCCATATATCTCTGAACTCCTTCACACCTCCATATATCTCTGAACTCCTTCACACCTACACTCCCTCTCGTGCTCTCCGATCCTCCTCTGCCACTGTACCTTCTGCCCGCCTGACCACCATGGGGTCAAGAGCCTTCAGCCACTCTGCCCCCCGTCTCTGGAACTCTCTCCCACAAGACATCCGCAATATGGACTCACTCTTAACCTTCAAATCCTGCCTGAAAACCCACATTTTTAAACTGGCGTATTCTATTTAATAATTCCTCTAAACTGATTGTTGTTTGTAAGTCTTTGTTTTTGAAGTCTCGAATTACTGTTTGACCTTCTTTGTTGCTTGTTTTTAATTATGCTCTGTAAGGTGTCCTTGAGCTTTGAAAGGCGCCCATAAATAAAATGCATTATTATTATTATTATAAAGTAGCAATACATGAAAATATTTCATTTGAAAGTACATTTCAAATATGTAAAAAAAGGTACTCAAGTACAACACTTGAGTAAATGTACTTTGTTACCTTCCACCACTGCATATGATGGTGGATAGGCATGCATAGTGTCATAATGTGTTACTGTTTATCAACAGCCTACAAAATGTGGCTTTTATATGAATTAACCAGCATCATTGTGTGATGAAACTTGTGTATTCATTTGATTTTGTTCTCCAGGACCTGACAGCCATCGGAGTGACCAAACCTGGCCACAGGAAGAAGATCTCCCTGGAGATCGGCCGGCTGAGCCTCCCTGAGTGGCTGCCTGACTACACTCCTGTGAGGAAACATCATGGTCACACCGCAAAATCTTAGAATCAGTAAAGCACCACGTCCAGGATGGTTCTGACTTCTGTCTCTGTTTCGTGTCTGGTGCTCACAGTCGGAGCTGGGGGAGTGGCTGAGTGTGATCGGACTGCCTCAGTACCAGAGGAGGCTGTGTGAAAACGGCTATGACTCCATCTCTATCGTCAAAGACATCACGTGGGAGGACCTGCATGAGATAGGCATCACCAAACTGGGTGAGTTTTCTGAAATGTGCTCTGTCTCAGTGGATTCACCTCTCCTCAAATCTGGGTGTGTCCATTAATGCTAGCAGGAGGCTAATCTGTGCCTCCACACAGACTTGACACATTATGGTGGGCTTCAGACTTCAACAATCACTTGATACATTTCCACTCTACTTTGAATATGTAACATAAACATTCATATATTTTGTAGCAAATGTTAGCAGTGAATAAAGACTGCTTGAAATCATCGCCTGCATAACCTCCACACAAGTGGGATGTTAAATCAAAGCATTCAATTAACAGGCTATTTTATCTAATGTAAACTTATACATGGTGGTGATTCATTGAAGACCACTTTTATGGGGTGGCAGCACTAGCAGTTGGATACATTTACATGGATCAACTCACACTGTGAAAACTCAGCGTAGTGGGGGTGCCAGGCATTAGTGGTGGGGGTCCAGCAGCCATGATATGCCTGTGCGAGGAGTCAATGTAAGGTCTCGCTTTAGGGCCAATCCTGTGACCAACATAGAAAACAATAGTTCAAACGTTAAAACACAAATACATACCAACATCATCTCTGAGAACTTAGTCTGAGTAAGCCCGAACGATGAGAAGGACCGTGTGTGTGTACCTACAGTATGTGTGTGAGTTTTTGTGTGTTAGTGTGTGTCGGATACCGGCACTTGATAACATGAGAGCAGAGGATAACCATAGAGCCATAGTTATGGAATGAAGGACAGAAATGTGCCAGGTTTTATTGGTTGTTTCTTGTTCTTGGGTTCTTAAAGTGTGCTATGAAAAACAGCCGCTGCTAGATGCTCTGGTGCTTCGCTGCTTACACCTTCAATCACTCTGAGACACAGACTGGCCATGTGTCCTATGAAGGTCAATACAGCTCCTCTCTGTGTGTGTGTGTGTGTGTGTGTGTGTGTGTGTGTGTGTGTGTGTGTGTGTGTGTGTGTGTGTGTGTGTGTGTGTGTGTGTGTGTGTGTGTGTGTGTGTGTGTGTGTGTGTGTGTGTGTGTATTCAGTAGATCTCTCTCTCTGTTTCAGGCCACCAGAAGAAGCTGATGTTAGCGGTGAAGAGACTATGTGACCTGCAGCGTTCTCGTAACCATGCTGACAGAGCTGGAGGCGGGACCCTCCAGCGCAAGCCCCCCGCAGCCCTGGAGCTGGTGGCCATCGAAAACACACCAACACACACTCTGCACACTCACACTCCTTCTGACGACTGCTGCCCCTCCCCTCGCTCTCCCAGGACCCTGCTCTCCTTCCAGGACAGCGAGCTGAGCGCCGAGCTGCAAAGCGCCATGATGGGCAGGGCGCTGGGGGGGTCTGCAGAGGCGTTCAGCATCAGGGTGGGCTCTGCAGCAGCCATGTATGTCAGTCAGGAGAGCATCAGCACGTGGTCCCGAGGCTCCGGGAACTCAAACTCAGGATGTTCTCGAAACCCATGGAATGCAGGGACTGCCATGCACTCAGAGGAGAGTGGGGGGGGGGAGGAGGGGCGTGGGGGGAGCAGTCCTGGAGTCAGGAGCAGATACAGACCCTCAGAGATGTTGGACCGCTGTCGCTCTGCCACCCCCAACAGTGTCCCCTTCGCCCCCCTTATCCCTCCCATTACTCCCAGCAAGATGCCCTGCGTTGCCTACCCGCCCCCACCCCCCAAGACCAAACACCAGCCCTCCTCCCCCACTTCTCCTTCCCCGCAGCCTGCCCCCACGCAGACGGCCTTCAGTTACCTCCACGCCCAGGCGGGGGGGGTCAGCGGGGCCCCCTGGCTGCTCTCCATGCCTCTGCCTGGAGCCGTCCCTCTGCTGGCCCCACGGCCTGCCCGGGACCCGGCTCGCGAAGGTCCGAAGGGGGGCCCTCACAAGAAACGCGCCCAGAGCCTGACCCGCTACGCTCTGTCTGACGGAGAGCCAGACGAAGAGGACGACGCGCCCCGCCCCTGCTCCTCAGCCCCCCCCTCAGCCATGCCCTCCTACGCCACGCTGTCCCGCAGGCCGGGCCGCGGGCACACCAGCGCCACAGGGGGGGCCCAACGCCACATCAACCGCAGCCAATCATTCGCAGTGCGCTCCAGACGCGAAGGCCCGCCCCCAGTCCCCCCCAAGAGGATGAGCTCTGTCAGCGGTGGCCCGACATGCAGTACCGAAGACGGGAAAGAGTCAGAAATTAAAACCGGGTTGGGGGCGGAGGGCCCCGGAATCGTGAAGAGCATTGCAGCTCGACTGGAGGGGGGGTGCAGCAGTCCATCCAGGAGGATAGACATGCCCCCCCCTCAGACCCCTCTGTCACCTGTCTTCCTTCCTGTGTCCTCCCCCATTCCTCACATCCTCCTTCAGCACAAAGCGGCCAATGCTCTGGACCTGGAGGGCCTGAAGAGGACAAATGTAGAGCCTGACAGACAGAGAGGGGGGGGCACAGAGGAGACACCTGGAGAGAGAGCTAGGAAGAGTGAGAGAGTGTCTCGGGGCGCTGCGTCTCCAAACCACAGTGGGGGGCATCTCCCATTCGCTGAAGAAGGAAACCTCACCATCAAGCAGCGGCCCCGGGGAGCTGTGGCCCCCCCCGCTGATGCTGAAGTCAAGACTCCGACCCCCCACACCCTGGAGCTCCCAGAGTTCAACCTGAAAGAGTCCGACACGGTGAAGAGACGACACCGACCCAGAGACAAAGACTCACTGACCCCCGAGGAGGCGCCCCCCCCCCAACAGAGGCGACAGCGATGTCAGGGTGCCCCCCCCCAACAGAGGCTACAGCGATGTCAGAGTGCCCCCCCACAACAGAGGCTACAGCGATGTCAGGGTGCCCCCCCACAACAGAGGCTACAGCGATGTCAGGGTGCCCCCCCCCAACAGAGGCTATAGCGATGTCAGGGTGCCCCCCCCCAACAGAGGCTACAGCGATGTCAGGGTGCCCCCCCCCAACAGAGGCTACAGCAATGTCAGGGTGCCCCCCCCCAACAGAGGCTACAGCGATGTCAGGGTGCCCCCCCCCCAACAGAGGCTACAGCGATGTCAGGGTGCTGAGCAAGGATCCAGCTCAGGGGCCGGGGGATATGTTCCAGAGAGAGGGCTCTATTGGAAAAGGCCCCAAGCCTCCAGTGTCCTCTAAACCTTCCAAACCTCTTAACCCCCCCCCAAACAGCAGACCAGCACCCCCCCAGAAAACATTCTCCACAGGACGAGCTGGTGCACCAACAGCCATTCCTAAACTGACCAGCGTTCAGGTCCACACCGTCTCCCCGAAGCTACACACACACACATTTGCACATTGCCCCAGACCTGGGAGTCCCCAGAGAGCTGCAGCCAGGCCCCCGCAGCCCGGCGCGGCCCCCCCCAGCACTGGCAGGTAACGAGACTCAACCTGCCTTTTCAAGAAAAATATTTTGGCCAAAAATGCTTCATTAAGTAAGGGATAATGTGCAGCCTGTCGGGTGTTCATTATGGGTAAAAGAACACCCGACAGGCTGATCAGGAGCCCGACGCGAAGCGGAGGGATCTTGATCAGAATGTGGCTTATTACAAGGCCACATTCTCAACAAAGTAACGACATGACTCCCAATATTAATTGAAATGCTTTTATAGATTTTGAAAATGTTTTTATTGATTTAAAAAATAGTATTATTGATTTAAAAAATTGTTTTATTGATTAAAAATTACATGCATCCGCTAAGAAAAATAGTCCGTTGTTACCGTTTGAACTACGTAGCAACGGCAGGAACTGCTTCGATAGCGTTTTGATTACAGATTTGAAATCATCGTTGCTTGTTAACATAGCACAATTCATTATGTCAGACCTTGGAAAGTATCTATATATCCCTGCCCTAATGCCAAAGTATCTAGATACCCCTGCCCTAATGCCAAAGTATCTATATATCCCTGCCCTGATGCCAAAGTATCTATATATCCCTGCCCTAATGCCAAAGTATCTAGATACCCCTGCCCTAATGCCAAAGTATCTATATATCCCTGCCCTAATGCCAAAGTATCTATATATCCCTGCCCTAATGCCAAAGTAAATATATATCCCTGCCCTAATGCCAAAGTATCTATATATCCCTGCCCTAATGCCAAAGTATCTATATATCCCTGCCCTAATGCCAAAGTATCTATATATCCCTGCCCTAATGCCAAAGTATCTATATATCCCTGCCCAAATGCCAAAGTATCTATATATCCCTGCCCTAATGCCAAAGTAACTATATATCCCTGCCCTAATGCCAAAGTAACTGGCAACTGAATATGTTTTGCCGTTTGATGTCTATGTCTGGACCGTTGCGTAAAAAGGACCGCAGCTCCGTGTTGAGGGTTTCTGCCCCGTTACTTCTCCGCTGTTTTCTTGTCCCTCTTGTCTTTTTCTTTTCTTCACTGGCCATCAGCCACTAACCATTCATCCAAATGACTCTGCTCACCAAATATATTAAAATGAATATTAAAATCCTCCATGTTGCTCTCAGACGGTAGACAACGGAAAACTAAACACAAGCAAACAGTTTGACCATGTTTCGACCAAACTGTATACAGTTAAATCAACCGGACTTCTTTCTGCAGATGTGAGTGTCCTTAACAACGGTCAATAAATCCTAGACAGCGGTCTGTACTACTGGATTAACAACGTGTGACGTGTTCTGAATTGACCAATCAGAATCGAGTATTCAACTAAACCATGGAATAATGTTAGATAACGGATTACTGCTTGTCTCTCAGGACTGAACCTCACCAGGGCCCAGAGCGCTGCGTCCAGCCCCCCCTCAGCCCCAGGGGGGGGGGGCGGCGGCAGGTCTGGAGGTTCTGGCTCAGCAGAGGCTGGAGCAGACCAGCACGTCCCTGGAGGAAGCTTTCAAGGTGGTGGAGAACAAGGGGGGCGATGTGGACAGGTAATTGATACTAATCAGGGTTACACAATCTCCTGGGAAACTGCAAGGTGGAAACCTTCTATGAGAAATAACAGAAGTTTATGAAAATGAACAGGAAGTAATTGTAAAATAAAAATATTTGCGTTATATGCTATATATTTTACATTTGATACTTAAGACAACAAAATGCAGTTAGCATCTAAACAAGCAGAAAGTGCAGTTATTCAGGCATAAAAAAATAAGTAGGTATACACATTATAAACAGCAGTATAGAAATGTAATACACTAAAGATCAGGTATACAAATATAGAGTATATACAGACACCATCCACCGAATAAATATGAATATAATGTAGACCGTTAATGACAATATGAATAAATATGAGTATGCTAAAGAAAAATGGAGTCATTTGAACAGTTAAGGCATCAAATTCAGATAGGAACTTACCTTTTCAGCCTACCATAATCAGACATAATTTGTCCATCTATTTCAAAATGTGTCAAATACCGTGTGGTTATTAAGCTAGCTAGCAAGTGAACTGCTGGAGAAAGGTATTTGGAAAAAACACGTATCCTTTTATCATTGTATCATCATAAGGAACATTCATTTTAGAAATGAGCGTATGGGGGTCATCATCACATGACTTGTTTCCAGCAGCTCTGTAACAGTCCTGTGTCCCACAGCTCAGTGAAGGCAGCAGGAAACATTCTGGACGACATCAGCAACATGTTCGATGACCTGGCTGACCAGCTGGACGCCATGTTAGAGTGACCCCCCAAACTCTGCCCCCCAGTTTCCCAGAGAGCAACAGATATCAGACAGATGATCCTTTGATTCAATAACATAGATACTTTTATAGAAGTGCACATTTTGAGGATTTCCTGCACAACTGTTCCTCATTATTGCCCAGTTTTTCAACGGGAGCCCTTTGCCTCAGGACTCAGCTGATGATGCAACACTCCGGAGCAGCAGGGTGTCCTCACTCTAGGGAATGAGAGTCCATTGAGTTGGCCTGTAAATGTATCACTGTGTCAGATATCGAGTATATTTATATGTCTTTATTTTTGTATTAACAAATACAGTTCGTATAATTTCACTGTTTCAATCGTTCTCATATATATTAGCACAACTGTGTTGTAAATATGTTATTGTTTATAACATATGGCAAATATAGTTATGTGGTATTTATAGCAGCGTATTCCTGATTTGATTTACAGCTCTTCTCTCTCACACAATGGAGATGCTTTTAAACATTTCAGAGGCAGTGACGTGTGTCGGAATATTTTGTTCGTTTCAAAGTGACTGAACACCAACACAGAATTATTCAAGACTTTTATGTTAAAATATAATAAATTAATAAATTGATCTATTTTAGTAAATGTATAATTTAAAAAGCATTTAAACTATGCATTACAAAAATGAAAGTTGTTCAAGTCTGTTGTATTTTTTCATTTTAATTAATATTTCCAATTAATTGGGCAAAATCATTTAAAGGACAATTTGCTTCACAACACACACCACCCCCCCCCCGCTTACTCATCATGGGTGATGACAGTTGTTTATTAAAAAAAATATTGATTCATGATCAATTTACTGTTTCAAAGGTGAATAGTGCAAAACAAAGCAGACTTTGTGTCATTTGATCCAAATGTTACATTTATCACTGTAACGAGCAGCAGAACAACAGAGCTCCACTGCAGAACAATCACACAAACCACTGAGGAGCTTCATTTCTCTCAAGTCAGTCAAATAAAATGTTTATTTATGTATGTACAATCATCTATCAAGAGCCAAATGAAAAATAAAATGTGATTACCTTGAATAATACAGGATTTCAGACGCAGTCCCTCACATACATCATGTTGGCAGTAAGGAGTTATTCATATGAGGCAGAGATATTCTTTCATTCTAGTTGCTGATTGCATTCATCAAAATCTGACATTTAAAATTCAACAGTCTTTCCCCTATGTCCTATTAATCCTTTTGTTGTCCTTTTCAAGTGCAAACTACATTATTTGTCTCTTTAAAACATTTTTCTTAAAGTATTATCATTCTTTCCTGTGTGTGAACATTATTAAAACAAAGTGGAAAAGCTCAATTAAAAAAAAAAAAAAGTCATCAAATAATACTGTTTTCATGAGTCCACAGGAATCTGGTGTGTCTCAAAAGTGAAAACCAAATCCACATGGCAGACAGGACCGTTCCTGTGAGGGGGGGGTGAGGTTGAGGGGGAGCAGGGTAAGGGTAGAGGGTGAAGATGGAAAATGGGGGGGAGGGGGGGTGGTGGTGGTTTATAAGTTGCCGAACAGCTCGTTCCTCTTGCTCCAGTCCATGGTCGGAGCTTTTTTGGCCGATCGTTTCTGACGAGCTCTCTCTTTAACCTGAGCCAGAGACAAGCTGAGACCCAGACTGTCAGCCGGGGCGGGGGGCTCCACCTACACACACACACACACACACACACACACACACACACACACACACACACACACACACACACACACACACACACACACACACACACACACACACACACACACACACACACACACACACACACACACACACACACACACACACACACACACACACACACACACACACACACACACACACACACACACACACACACACACACACACACACACACACACACCACACACACACACACACACACACACACACACACACACACACACACACACACACACACACACACACACACACACACACACACACACACACATTGAAATTAGAGAAACGATTAATACTTGAATAGAAATATGATAAACATTGAATGGTTCCAGATTACCAATAATAGTTACCAATAATTGTAGTTATATTCTTTTTTTCATTTGAATATCAGTAAAGCACAATATCTGATGACATCACATTCTTTACTTTATTTTTCCATCAATATCAACATTATGGCCAGGTACAGCTCTTACTAACATCCAGGACCACTAAGTATTACTGTACTGTTGTAAAATATCAAAACTCAAATGATGTCTTCAACTCAAATATTACAGTTTTATTTTTGTGACATATCTCCAAAAAGATCTTTACGTCATTTCCTTGAAATGTTTCCGCTTTATTTACTAAGTCCGAAACTTTTTGGAACCTTGAAACTTCATGACTTACAGCGTATCCATTATTACTGCTATCAATCATTTTAAGGGTATTCAAATGATTGGCTGTATTTCTGCAGTGACATCTCATTAAATTCATTTATTCTATCTTTATTGATTTTATATTTTGTATTGCTTATTTATTTGTATTGACTTATTATGCAGCAGTATAAAGCTGACAGGAGGGGGGTGAGGAGCTGTTCTGTACCTGGGGAGGGGGCTCGCTGCTTCCCGGCCCCTGCAGGGAGGCGTTGGAGGACGCGCTGGAGGCTGAAGAGCTCACGGAGACTTTGGGCTTCACCTCTGCTGCCACCTGCTGACAGAGGAGCATTCACACTGACTGAAAGGGCCAATATGAACTGATCAATGCATCAGTTGTGGTGACATGGTTATATGTGTGAGGCTGACAAACAAATGGCATCATTCTGTTGCACAGCTGTGTAACGCTGATGAAAAAAATGGTTTGTATTGTCCAGCAGGGGGCGACGTGCTGCAGTCACATTGTAAGCAGTCAACTTGAGCTGAGAGCTCTCTGAAACATCCCGCTTCGGCACATGAACAGATTAAACCAGAACAACTGCATTGTTCTGAACCAGAAACAGAAAACTAGCTCTGTTCAGAATATATTATAACAAACTTAAATGACTATAAATATACTACTATACTTTTTTGTGTGCATATATCCCCTTGGGAGTGGAGTGCAGGACTGTGTACAAACATAGGAGTGACAGCAGACGTTGTTAGAATGCACACTCACACACACGTTATGTAAGGGCTGCTGAATGAGGGATTGTTGTTGCTCGCTATTCTTCTCATTAGCATAATCCCCAACGAGTTAAAGCCACTTCAATCCCATGATCCTCCAGGACTCTGAGACCGAGAGGAAATACACTGCACAGCTCCTGTTGCCATGGTGAAGGGTCAGACACAATGTCACCAGAGGGGCCAAGCTGTGTGTGTGTGTGTACATTTTAGTTCATACTGACTGCTTAATAAAGGACCATTCTGCTTGTTAACTCAGGGTTATTTTTCCAGACGATGATGATGATTATGGGAAGTGTAGGGTTTGTGTGTGTTTGTGTGTGTGTGTGTGTGTGTGTGTGTGTGTGTGTGCGTGTGTGTGGTGCTCCTCACCTCCTCCTCCTCCTCTGCTGCTCTTTTTGGCTCAGGCAGAGCCCCTGCAGGGGAGGAAGACGTAGTTATTAGACACTCATCATTTTGCTTTCATGGTTTAACATGGTGACAGTCATCATGGAATGGCAGTGATTTAGTTCCTGACAGTGGCAGCTCTTAAAAGCTCAGAGCAAATGTGTGTGGTACCGCTGAGGTGCTCCTCAGTGGGCAGCACGTCACACATCTTGAAGAACTCTTCAGTCTCTGCGTCCACCACCAGCAGGGACGTCTCCTCGCCTCCTGCTTTGATCGCTGCAACCACCTCCGAGTGCTGCATGTCCTTCACTGACACGCCGTTCACCTGAGGAGACAGGAGACGGGGACAAAGTTATTGGTTATAGATCCTCTAACCAGAACACAGTCTTATTCAATGTTTTTCCATAAAATAGTGATCTTATCTTTTTGTAGCTTACAGCTACATTTAAAATCCTCTCAGAAGCTGAAACCATCGTTTTTTTTTAAAACTACAATTCACTAACTAAAAAATGTCGCAGATTAGTTGTCAGTTGTTTGGGTAATAACTAAATCATCTCATCACTCGGGCAGTAGAGGGTTTAGCATGAGTGATGGATAATCATTGTGATGCCAAGCAACTCCTCCAGCTTTGGAGAAAATAAAGAACACTCATCTATCACAAATCTCCAAAGTATACGAGTCAACACTTATTTTTTTTATTTTTTTCTTATTTTTTCAGTGTTTATTTACTTTTGCCGTGTGCGAGCCGACCGCACCAACTCTGCTATACAATATAGCAGAGAGGAACTTCTACACATCAGAAACTTTGTGGACAACAGCCCACCGTCAGACAATGGAGACCCGCCACGGCTGCCTGCCTACTTGAGAGACGCAGGAGGAACGGGTCCCGTGAGACTGAGGAAACGCGAAAACCGACCCCCTCTTCAGAGTATTCTTCTGGCTAATGTTCAGTCAATGGAAAATAAGCTAGATGAACTCAGTAGTCGGATTGCTTTTCAACGGGACATTAAGAACTGTACCGTGTTCATTTTCACAAAGACTTGGCTCAACCGCGCTATCCCGGACTCCGCCATTGTTCCTGACGGATTCACTATATTTCGCCAGGATCGGACTGCTAATTCCGACATGGATACAAGGCTCTCCCTCGCCCTCCCTTCGGCAAATCAGACCACATCTCACTGCTGCTGCTGCCTGCTTACAAGCAGAAACTCAAACGGGACAGACCGGTAACAAAGACAGTACAACGATGGAGTGAGGAGTCAGATTCAGCTCTGCAGGATTGCTTTGCATCTACGGATTGGAGTGTGTTTGAGGACAACAACATCAACACACACACGGACACGGTCATCTGCTACATTGGGAAATGCATCGATGACGTGGTACCGAAGGTTTCTGTACAGACATTCCCAAATCAAAAGCCCTGGATAAACTGCGAGGTGCGCGGCAAGCTGAAAGCGCGCACTATCGCGCACACAGCGGGAGATTTGGAGGAGTACAGGAGATCTAGGTATGAACTCCGGAGAGCTATCAAAGAGACAGTACAAAGACAAGGTGGAATCTGACTTCAAAGGCTGTAACACCAGGAACATGTGGGCGGGACTAAGAACAATGACAGACTACAAAGGAGCAGCGGGGGGTGCTGCGGGAGTGTCTGCGTGCGCATCTCTCCCAGATGAGCTGAACAGCTTTTTTGCTCGCTTCGAGAGCAGCCAGGCTGTGGAGGTACAGAGGGACCAGGAGCTACACTGCCCTTTTGTTTTAAACAGGGCAGATGTGTGTAAATCCTTTAAAAGGGTTAACCCACACAAGGCTCCTGGACCTGATGGCATCCCTGGCCGTGTTCTCAGGGTGTGTGCAGTTCAGCTGGCAGAGGTGTTCACAGACATCTTCAACAGGTCCCTGCTGCAGTCTGTAGTCCCCACATGTTTTAAACACTCCACCATCGTTCCTGTCCCCAAAAAGACAAAAATCACCTGCCTCAACGACTACCGCCCAGTAGCACTCACCTCCATCATAATGAAGTGCTTTGAGCGGTTAGTCAAATCATTCATCACCTCCTCCCTCCCTAACTCTCTGGACCCCCTGCAGTTTGCCTACAGAGCAAACAGGTCCACAGACGACGCCATAGCCCTCACCATCCACACTGCCCTCTCACACCTGGACCTGAAGAACACATATGTGAGAATGCTGTTCATTGACTACAGTTCAGCCTTCAATACCATTGTGCCCTCCAAGCTGGTCATCAAGCTCAGAGACCTCGGGCTCAACAGCGCCCTCTGTGATTGGATCCTGAACTTCCTGACGGGCAGACCCCAGGCAGTGCGGGTGGGAAACATCACATCCTCCACCCTGATCCTCAACACCGGAGCTGTGTGCTCAGCCCTCTACTCCCTGTTCACACACGACTGCGTGGCCACACACAGCTCCAACACCATCGTGAAGTTTGCTGATGATGCGACCGTCATCGGCCAGATCACCGACGGCGACCAGACGCCGTACAGAGAGGAGGTCAAAAACCTGACATCTTAGTGCCAGGATAACAACCTCCATCTCAACGTCAGCAAAACAAGGGAGCTGATTGTGGATTACAGGAAGCAGCAGAGAGAGGGACACGACCAGGACGGAGCTGCCATCCATGGAGGATCTTTACTCCCAGCGGCTCATGAAGAAAGCCCACAGGATTATCAAAGACCCCCATCAGCCCAGCCACAAACTGTCTGGCAGGCGGTACCGCAGCATCAGGACTAAAACCACCAGACTCAGGGACAGCTTCATCCCACAGGCCATAAGACGACTGTTAAACACCTGAACTTTTGAAACAACATCCATAACATTCGTCTGACTGCAACTTACAAATTATTGATCTAATATATCATATTCCAATCACTTGTATATAGACTCTTATTGCACTATTTCACTATTTTACTATTTTATTTTTTGTATTTACTTGCACTATTTTTTCAGTTTTTCAGTTTTGTTGTGTTGCACTGTTGGAGGAGCCTGTGACCTAAGATTTTCATCGTCATAACTACACTGTAGCTATGTACGTATGACTAATAAAAGCCTTGAACCTATACTTTATTGCTGTAAAAATCTACTTCATAAAATGGATCAATGCAAGTTTCTTACCAAAAACTACATTTTACATTTGAACACATCATGAAAACATTATGATGTAACCTTTGCAAAATACTATTTTGTTATTAAAAGATCTTGAGCGCATTATAATATTTCTCAATAAGGAATTATAGTTTTCTCCATGAAGCCCCTGTTAGCGTTAGCAGTTAGCTCACTGCAGGACTGGCTGCTATCAGCTAATATTAGCTAGCTCTCTTGCAGACTCAACACAGATTTGTTGTTCACATTGAAGCAACATCAGAGAAAATCAGGTGCTTCCTGACAGATTCCTGAGTATATTGATATGATTATATATTTCATTATGTCTGCAAGTGCCATATAAAGTATTGTAATAACCAGAAATGTGAATGCTTTTCTGTGTGCACATCGGGAATTGCTGTGGTAACGGCTTGAGATCAGATAAACAGATGTGGAGTCACTGTTGCAGATCTGTAACCAAGGCAACAGCCAGCAGCAGGTAGCATACGGCAGGCTAACAGAGGAGCTCACACAGATCAATGAGCTCCCACAATGCCTCAGTTATTAAATATTGAACACTTTGGGCCTCCATATTAAAGGTGGAACATGTTATCACTTTAAACTTTTATGGGTCATATATTCTTATTCAATTCAAGATATCATAAAAGGCATCATTAAAAATGACTGATGATAAAATATCTAAAAACGATTCTTTCTACTTCACCTGAACTACGGATCCGACATGACAGCTGTTTAAAATGAAAATACTCCGGTGTTTTAAGTCTGTGAATGATGATTTTCGTATGGTAAGGGAAGATGCCAATGTTGTTGATGTAGTGAGGAGTGATGATGGATAGAAGAGTGGAGTGTTACTACAGGGCACCAGCACACTCCCACAGCCCAAATTAATCACGCTCCTGGGAGATAAGGAACTGAAGAATTCTGGGGGAGGAAGGTCCAAGGTGGGAATATCGTCAGGAATCTCTAGGTGTACTCCCACAGGCTGTGGACATCGACAGCTGGTACGGAACATTCTACTTCATTCCTCTTCGGTGACCCTCACAGAAAGAGCTTTCATCTCACTGAGTCTGTACAGTTCTGGTTTTATTTCATTAATACTATCTCTGCCCCCCCCTGCAGGGTGGGATTAGTAAATGGATTAACGCAGACCCTGTTCAACACGGCTTCAGACCTGCTGTTTACAGTGACACAGTGGGAGGAAGCAGGCAGGATGTGTGTAGGATGCAGTGTTTTTGGATCTCTTATGAGCGTGTATGAAATAAATGCTACAATAGCCCTTTAAAAAGCAGTGGACAGTATTCATTAGTATTCCTGAAGTATTCATTATTCAAAGCACACAGGGACATTCCCTGCTGTGATTAAAAAGTATTCTGTCTGCTGACTCACTGTTTCTTTAATAGCTGTCAGAAACCTGATCTGCGTGCAGAGTCTTTCTGTTCTCGTCCTTCAACTCTGCTCTACCATTTCACTCCATCCATATCCATTCAGTGTGTGTGTGTGGTACCTGGAGGATCTTGTCCTGTGGTTTGAGTCCGGCCCGCTGTGCAGGAGAACCGTCGTCAACGGCCCTGATGAACTGCCCCGGCCTGGACTTCTCACTGTGCAGGTTGAAGCCGTAACCGCTGCTGCCTTTCTGGATGTGGCAGAGACGAGGCCGCAGACCCCCCCTCTCCTACACACACACACACACACACACACACACACACACACACACACACAATTTTGGGTGAAAAGTTTGATTTATTAGGACATTGACTTTAGAAATCCACAATTCTTCACAATCTCTGAAAGGTATGGATGTAACGATGCATCGTGAACCGGTTAAAAATCGGTACAGCTGCGTTAAGATTAAAATCGGTTGAGCTAAAAAACTAATCGTGATGCAATTGTTTTAAATGGCCCAGGGTGTGAACTAATTTGTATTTGATTTGATTAGCTGGAACAGCAGTCTGGACATGATTGAATGCCATCTAGAACAACAACTTGCCGTGGCAGCTGCTCTCCTCAGTGCAGACGTCCGACAAAATCGACACACTGGATAACTCGGACATCCGTGATGCCGAGGAGAATGGGCGTAATTTCCAAAGCTATGAGAACTACGCACATTGTCGTTAAGAGAACTACAGATGTTAATATAATTGCTGTTCGCAGCAGAGTGTCCATCTCTAATACTCCTGTCTTTATGGTCATCAGCAGGAAGAAATCAATAACCAACCATGTGACCAGTAGAGATTAAATTAAGGTGACATATGATACATATTTAATTGTATGTTGTATGCTATTCATCTCAGATGTCTCCAATACAGTCCTACAGATTCCACGGCCACACAACCATCACATGTCAGGGAGGCACTTCATATAACTTCCCTATACATACTGTTTGTATGATGCGTATTTGCAGTGGTGTAATGTAACTACGTACATTTACACAAATACTGTACTTAAGTACAAAATCAAAGTACTTTTACTATACTTGAGTATTTTCACATTTAGCCACTTTATAATTTTACTCCACTCCATTTTGTAAGCTAATGTTTAAGTTTTTGCTCCACTACCTTTATTTTACATATTTAGTTTATTTGCCGTTATATTTAAATCGACACATATTGTAATATATTATCATAGGTCAAGCTACCCAGAAGTATGTAAGGTAATTCAAATAAACCCCACTTTTACCAAATGCAACATTAAAGTGATGAACACATTAATGAACCAATTTGGGATCAATAAAGTACATCTTATTTTATTTTATCTTATCTTAAAATAGCCATTTTGCATAACGTGTACTTTTAATTTTGTTAAGAGTCTTTTTTTTTTAGCTAATACTGTTTACTTTTACTTATGTACAATTTTGAACGCAGGACTTTTACTTTAGCACAGTATTTGTACACTGTTTATTGCTACTTTAACTTAAGTAAACCATCTGAGTACAGACATTGTGGGTTGCAGACATGTATGGGAGCCAATCTCTGAAAGGAAAATAAAAACATTGCCCTTTCTTTGTCGTTTCATCATTCATTTAGTAACACATACTCCACACACATCTCTAGCAAACATGTGCTTGTGCCCTGATAAGAAGCTCCACCTGTTGCTCTTATTAATCTGATAAACGCTCAGCTATCTACACTATCAGTGTGTCTGTAAATGATTCCCTGACAAGCGAGCATTAAATATCAACCACTGCACGCTCAGCATTCAAGACTCGGGACAGACACCCCCCCCTCAGCCTCTCACCCACACATATGGATTACACATTGAGTTTAAATGGCAGGGGGGTTGATGATTGCTGAAACATTCAGTGAGTCAGTGTGATGCTGGGTGGACCTTTGGATAGCACTGCACATTTATTACCCAGCAGACATAATCTGTGGCTGTTAATAAAGATGATCAGGATGATATAACAGGTGAGGTGCAAAGTACACAACCGGAGGGCTGAACACTACAATTATCTCACTCTAAATATCTATCTACTGTGTATATATATATATTTTTTTTAAGTTCCACACCAATATGGCACATAGTGACACATACTGTAGGAGAACATTTGAGTACTACTTTCTCTTTTCAGTGATTATTCATGTCTGCGTGCACAGGAAACAGCAGGTTGAGCAGAGCGGGTGCTGCATGATGACAGCCTCTCCCCAACATGCTATCACTGACATCATTTACAATGTGTGCTGCTAACACATGCTGTTGGGAAGAGTTCTCTGGTGGAAAATACCATATCTGTATGTCAGACCTCAGAAACACAACAGAGATGTGCCACCTACAGCAGCAGTGAGAATGCAGGATCAGTTGAAGTGCGATGGTACGAGAGGCAGCATTGTAAACATTCCCCAAGCTGGTTATTATGTGAGGTTAATGGTTTTACAGCTGTAGTTAAACATCAGATCCTGTGTTTCCAACAGGGTGCCACAATAAGAGCTGGTGGGAGGACCTTGAACTGAGGCTGAAACATTAACTGTGTGAGGAGAAACATTTACATAGAGAGAAAAAGCTACATCTCAAACATTCTGATCTTTTCCACAAAGTAGGGGTAACACCTTACAGAGTGCTCCACCTCAGTCCACCTCCATGCCTCGGTGCGATGGAATTTCAGAATCAGAAATCCTTTATTAGTCCCACAGCGGGAACATTTACAGCAAAAAGTGGCATAGTAGGTAAAAAATAAAAGGCATGCAATAATAAGAATAAGCTAACTTATTAAATAAAGAAATGAAAAGCACACATTACTTATACTAGAAAAAATGAAATCACTGAATTTAACAGTACATAGCATTACATATACTATTCCTCTGAACACATTGTTTGTGATTCTAATAAGAAACGAAATATTGATAGATTTAGACAAAGATCTTGGACAGCATTTATAATTGACAACATTGGCCAATTTTGCTGAATAAAGAACTGTGGAAAAATGTGTTTCAATTCAAAGTAAGCTATTACTTTTAGTGAAGAGTAAGCACAAACAGAATGCAAAGTATGAAAGGGGATGACATGAGGGCCACAGGTGGGATCGGGTCCTTAGCCTAGTCGGTACACTGTTACAGCTGAGACCCAAAATGTTCTTTTAATAATCATTGATATGTTAGCTTGGGTCTTTGATAATGATTAGCTGAGCCACGTATACTGTAAACCTATAAAATCCTCAGTAAACAACATTCTCAGCTCTTCCAAATCTGACTACTACCTAGGGATGGGAACTATTAATCGAATATTCGAAATTATTCAGGTATTCGAATAATTATTCAGGTATTCGAATATGAGTTATGAATATTTTTATTAATTTTTTTTTGGGAGGGATGCCTAAGTTGATTACATATTTAATAATTCTCTCTCTCTCTCCTCTCTAGAGCTATCGAGATAGAGAGAGAGAGAGAGAGAGAGAGAGAGAGAGAGAGAGAGAGAGAGAGAGAGAGAGAGAGAGAGAGAGAGAGAGAGAGAGAGAAGAGAGAGAGAGAGAGAGAGAGAGAGAGCGAGGGAGAGAAGGAAGAGAGAGAGGAGAGAGAGAGAGAGAGAGAGAGAGAGAGAGAGAGAGAGAGAGAGAGAGAGAGATAGAGAAGAGAGAGAGAGTACGAGAGAGAGAAAGAGAGAGAAGAAGAGAGAGAGAGAGCGCGAGAGGAGAGAGAGAAGCGAGAGAGAGAGAGAGAGAGAGAGAGAAGAGAGAGAGAGGCGAGAGAGAGGAGAGAAAGAGAGTATGAGCGAGCTAGAAGAGATAGCGCTAGACGTAGAGCGAGCTATAGTAGATATAGAGGCTCTCTATAGATCTCGCTTTCTCTCTCTATCGTCTCTCTCTCTCTTCTCTCTCTCTCTCTCTCTCTCTCTCTCTCTCTCTCTCTCTCTCTCTCTCTCATCAGATCTAGCTAACGATATGCCTGCTGCCCCTGCCTACACGCAAATCACGCAGACTCAAACCTCATCTTATGCCCAAATGCGGCGCAAATGCGCTCCGCAGCCGTTGGGAGGTTCCTGCGCTAACAGTTCATGAGCGTGCTCCCCCGCCCCCTGTCAACACTCGCGACACTTGAGTGGCCAGCCTAAACAATGGTTCATGCTTCATGGTTTTCATGGCCGAGCAGCTGCATCGAGCCTTACATCACCAAGCACAATGCCAAGCGTCGGATGGAGGGGTGTAAAGCACGCCGCCACTGGACTCTGGAGCAGTGGAAACGTGTTCTGTGGAGTGACCAATCACGCTTCTCTATCTGGCAGTCTGATGGACGAGTCTGAGTTTGGCAAATGCCAGGAGAATGTTACCTGCCTGACTGAATTGTGCCAACTGTAACGTTTGGTGGAGGAGAGATAATGCTATGGGTGTTTTTCTGGGGTTGGCCTGGGCCCCTTAGTTCCAGTGAAGGTATTCTTAATGCTTCATCTTACAAAGTCATTTTGGACAATTCTACGCTTCCAATTTTGTGGAAACATTTTGGAGAAGGCCCTTTTCTGTTGCAGCATGACTGAGCCCCACAAAGCAAGGTCCATAAAGGCATGGTTGGATGAGTTTGGTGTGGAAGAACTTGACTGGCCCACACAGAGCCCTGACCCCCACCCCGTTGAACACCTTTGGTTTGAACTAGAACGGAGAGCCAGCCTCTCGTCCAACATCAGTGTCTGACCTGGTTGCTCTTCTGTGAGGCAGAGCCTCACCTGCCATACTCCAATGTAACGGAAAAACAACTAAAGAAAAACTAAATAGTAATAATAATAAAATGTCTCCACTGATCTGTGTTGTAAATGTGATTTATGTATGATTCCAATCGCTTTTTATAGTCAAAATCAGCAAATGTGCCGAGCTCCGCTACGGGAGCGATGAGAAATGAGGCAGGGACGTGCTCTGCCTCTCGTAAGCCCACAGTAACTTGCTGGAGCGCGGGCACTAATTTAGCGCGGCCACTTATTTTGTGAGCGCGCTCAAGCCAGTTACTGTGAGGTGAGGTGAGGCACAGATGAGCTCTGCCTCACCTCAGAATGCGTCACCCCACAGAAACTGTCTGGAAAGCGGGCCTGAAGCTTGTTCCCATCTCACTGTAGGTCACCAATGTAATGTTTGTAGATCCCTTTATTACATTTATCCTCACCATCCATAGTCTCTAAATAACTTATTTCACGTATATATGATATTTAGGCCCGCTGGTCTCATCGTACAACGGCAATGAAAAAAGCACCAGGGGA